TCAATTAATTGGTGCAGTTGGGTTAAATAAGCTACGTGTGCTTCTAACAGTTAAAAAGACCCATTTTCTCGAGTGCTTCTTTTGCACACCAGGTCAAAATTGCGAGGCTAATGTGTCTAGCATGCTGTAAATCGTGTTTATTCAACCTCTTAATCCGATCGCTCCGCCTCCGACACAGGGCTCCCCTTTCTCGCAGCATGGCGCAGCAACTCCCCCTTAATTCACACGAATGTCTATCATGGATTATCCTCACGCCTAGGTCCCGATGTTAGCGCAGTTATGACCCACACATCCGATCTATAAATGCAGTCGCGCAAACCTCACACACGACACAACGACACCAACGTGGTTGACCTCTGAAGTAAACGGTTGTGTCCACATCCTCTCCTATCTTTTTCTTCATCGCGGGCATCAGGGAAACGTAATCGGGCCAGGATTAATTCCGTGGATCCGGCGTGGTTCAAGACCACATGCCGGGGCCCACAACAAGCATTGCATGAATTACATTTTTAAAGTCTTTTGCTTAGTTACCAGGCGAAACAGCTTTGGGGGTTATTTTCTGTTATCGCACGCGCAAGACCGAAGAGATTAGAAGGAATACACGTTGGGGATCCAGCATTTGCCAAGACGGCGCCCCACTGACACCTCCATTTGCGCTAATCCGCCTTGATTCATTAGGTCAAGGTCATCCTCGACCTATATAAGTGGACATTCTGACAGATCGAAACAGGTCTTGCTTTTGTCCCGTACTGGGAAGGTAGGGTCTGGTGCATGACAAAGCTATTTGAGCATATAGTTCTGGTTACGGAGCAAAAGCAACAGAATGCCAACTTGTTCTCCGGTCTGGTGATTGAACCGAATGTGTGTGAAACGAAAGGATACTTCACTGGAACGGGTGCCCACCTGTAAGGCACACTCAAATGCACATTAGTGCGATCCAGGCAAAACTCACCTCTACTGGCACCCACTCCATCTGCAGCACATTGCCAACCGGCAATTTGACCACCTCGCAGATATCGCGCACTACGGGCGCCTTGGCCGCGGCCCCACTGCCGAGATTCCAGACGTGGACGCAAGGTGAGTGTCCTCCAGCAAACAGAAGGCTGCCGTCACTAGAAAAAGAGTGGGGGAGGAACTACTCGTTTGGGGGGGGGGCTTTGGTCGACGGTCTTCATGACATGGTGGTCTAAGATTGGTTCGTTCAGATAAACAAGATCTTCAGATGAGTTTTTGTAAGAACGCAATAAACGCTAATTTAATAAGGGGCGGTAAGGAAACACAGGCGGAAAGGCAGCCTTGGTGGACGAAAGAGTAACGCAGGGAACTTACGCGCTTACACAGAGGCATTGGTACTCAAGGGGAGTGAGCTTTGGCCCAACAGAAAGGTGGTAGGTGCACTCAAACGTATCCACGTCCCACACGAAAACATGGCCATCTTTGAGACAAGACAGGATTTGTTTGCCCTCGGGTGGCATAAAGAAAGCCTGGCAAGAGGCTCGGTTTAGGACAAAATAAAGGTGATTAACAAAATGGGAAAAAACTCGACGCACAGTGTGGATCTTGGCGTCGTCGCCGGAGCGAAGTTGACGCAATTTCCGGAGATTGTGCAGGTCCCAAAGGAAGACCTCGTCCGCGCTCACGGAGATCATCAAATCTTGGGCCGGTTCACGAATGGACATGGAGCGGACGTTTGACTCATGAGCCTTCAGTATTTGCACAATCGATCCGGTTTCTAAAAAATTCACATTCAGACAGCTCACTTGGCCGTTAGCTGAAATACTAAAAGCTGTTTGTACGAGATCCTGCCCTGTCTTACATCAGCATGGGAAGGTGGGGGCTAGTGTCTGACAAGGGATCTCGGGTACCAGTTATCTGAGTGTGTGGGGGTCTTGGTTACGGGCAAAACGTAACACAAACTCACAAGCCCAAAGTAGGAAGAGAGTAAACCGAGGCCACTTGTTCATCACGTAAAAGGTGACTTACGTAATTCCCCCAACGGCATATAGGTAGACACAATGAACGTCAGATAGCACGTGGTTCTACACATTTAACACACAACTTTCTCTTATTCGTGCAAATATGAAACGCCGTGGTGTAGAGCAGGAAAACGACATAATTCATGTGATTTTCGATAGTGAATTTGTGAAATGTATAGCATTTTATGAGGAGGCAGTAAGTGCACGACACAATGAGCTTATCCTAAACATGTAAAATACCGAATGATTGTAGAAGCGATTCTTCTGGGATCTGATAGCACAGGCACTGCTCTGGCTGGTCTCCAGCCCGTAAGATGGAGACCAGCACGTAAAGTTTGACCTTGAGTTAGATAACCAATCAAAGCAGTACATTGTGCAAACTAAACACAACATACCATACTTAATCACTTGAATGAAGAAGTCAATTGTACAAGCGAGAAGCAGAACATCTCCAGTGGTGTTTCGGTATGACTGGAGAGCAGTGCAAGGTGCAGGAAGCTTGACCAGTTTCTTCAGTCTCCTAAGAGCCAACCAAGTGCCCCAAATAGCTACTACTTTACCTGCAATCGGTTAAGTCCACCGCAAGCACTATTCCTGACGAGGTAACCAAAAATAGGATATCTCCAAGAGGCAGGAAGGTGGCTAGGACGATGTGCGAGGAAATTCGTCTTGCTGTGGGTTTGATGGAAAAGACAAACCTAAAGAAAGTAGAGAAAATGCACTGTTGTCGACAACAACCACACTGTTTTAAGATAGAAATGAAACCAGTGGTTCAGCAAAGTGCATACTTGTTCAATCGGACATGACTGCAGATTAAAAAGAGGTCCGTAAACAACTCTTTTTTCTCAAATTTCAGTGAAATTTTTCTTTTTCAGCATACTTGATGGCTGCAACCGAGAAAATTTATGCCACGCCGCTTGTGGCACAAAAAGAAGGGATAAATTAAGTAGTACGAATTAGTGGGGCATAAATATTAATTTCGAAACTAAGCTGCTGATTTAGAATTAAAAACGTGCAAATGGTAAGCACTTTTTTTACGAAATTAAACAATTGGAGCGGACAACAACTTACGCAGTACCAGCTGGTTTGGGGCTTTCATACAGGAGTAAACCTGATGTGGCTTCCTGGAGCGAGACCTTTTTGGAATTCTTAGGCGATAAAAAGGACATTTGTAAAAGAAAACGCAAAATTCACATCAAATTTTACAAAGATCCGTGGTTCCAGCGATATGGGGACGAAACACAGTTGGGGATTAGCATGGAAGTAATTCCAACGTAAGACACGAGTAAAATGAGTCAGTTTAAAGCTATTACTTCACTGAATTCCTGTAGCTGTTGTCGTCAAAGTTCTGTACAAATGCCGGCAATACCAACTGGATCAGGCCTAGTCTGCCTCTTGAAGCAAATGCAGCTAAGTGTTCCATTCAGGTCGTTATGATAAATAAATACTGTCACAAAAACCAGCTGCTTAAAGGTCTCAATAGTCGAGAGCTTCGGTAGCACTACTTTAATGTCGTGCGTAGATTCACAATCACTGCGGGGTTCTGACTTGAAACCTCGAGACATGCATATCTTGAACTTCCACCATTCGAATAGACATACTTCTTTTCACTAATTAATATTAACTAGGGGACCAATCTTGACTTCTAAGGTGGCACGCCAGTGGGCTTTGAAATTAGCAAGAAATCAAACAATGTTCTAAAACGAGCTTCTTGATGGAGAATTATACCATTTTTGAATTTCCATTTGTGTTCATTAGGGGTAATTGATGTGAAACACATTCTCCGCGTTTTTATAGTTTACCCAGAACAACACTTGGAAACTTCAAGCAAGTAGTTTTTATTTATGTGCTGATAGTTATATTAGTTGACGATACTTTTCGCATACACTTAAGTTTCAAAAGCAATCCAAAATCTTGACAGTTACTTGCATTTCTAACCGTTATATCTTGGTCGGTTTCAAGTAGAAAACTTTAAAAAATTGAAGCATGACCACTAAATTAATGTTACTTGTTTTATTGTAAATCTAGAGTGAAAATTAAGTGATATGTTCAGCAAAGTAAATATGCAAATAACAACAATTTTGAATTACACTGAGCGTCGACAGGAAATGAAAGACAGAAATCTGAAAAGGAAATCAATTATTTTTGAAGACGGAAACTTTTGACGAGAAAAAAATCATTTCCGAGAGTTATGCAACAGTGGTTATGAGTAAATCAACAAGTGCGTGAAAAGCAATTACATTATAAACATAACTGAAATAATCGATGGAAAACGGACTCCATATAAATCGATTATTATAAATTAATTTATGAAAACACATTGAGGTGAACACAACAGTGGAATAAAAAAAACACTTCAGACACTGATAGGCACTAATATATGAGCTTAAATTGATGGCCATCTCAAATATCAAAATAAGTAATTTAGAAAAATCAGACCAACCATCGGACCTTTTGACAAAAGTAACGGGTTAAAAAAATATAACACATAATTACAAGAAGGGCTTTTTATCAACTTTACAATACATGCAAATTTGCAGCTTCACTACTGAATCTAAATTTGCAATTAACCATTTATGTTATAAACACTTCTGAGCGACGACAAGAAAAAAAATCGAAACTGTGCTGTTTGTTGAGCAAAGTGATCCGATGTACTTAAACTGGGAAGTTTAGTTATTAGCCATTTATTAACATGATTAATTGGTTAATAATGCTCGAATAAAATTAATTAATAAAAATAATTTATTAGGCGGAAAGTGAGACAAAATAACACCTTGATATTCTGGGCTTCGTGAACTACTTCATGGTTTCGACAATTATACACGTCTTTTTCAATAAATGGCGTAGGTATCAATCAATTTGCTTCCATGTAATGAGGGATTTCCTGGACGATCTTTGGTAAGCATACAAGGTCCCAATTGTCGCCTCGAATTTAATTGATAATGCCAATGACCTGCAAAATGTCCCTTTGACCTTGATACTCTGGCCTGCTGTCTATTTGAGCGTGTAGCCCGGCTTGGTTGCATGGCCGTCCACGTAACGAGTTTGCTTCTCATCCTTAGCACCGTGTACTTTGTTTGGCCCCTTAATTCGTTATTTCTATGGCACCCATTTCTCATGATGCTGGGGCTTTGTGGCTTTGCGTTACAAGGCATTATAATTTACAATAACGACAGCTCATTGGCACTTCACTTCCCTGGACGTCGAAAGGTAATAGTATGCTTTGTCGCTAGAGTATGATAAATGATCCAAAATAATCGTGTGAGTATTTAATGGAACTAAAGTGTTGAAATCAAGAGCTATTGACTATTCCCGATTGTGTTTTTTTTTAGTATAAATTCCATTGGGTCCTGCACGTCCTGGGCTTGGTGACAATGTTTGCCGGTTTCGGCGTTATCTTCAAGGTCAAAATCGACAACAACAAGAGTCACATGACCACTTGGCATAGCCGGCTCGGTTGCTTATTCCTCCTCGGTGTTTTCTCCCAAGTGATTTTTGGTTTTCTGCGAACAACCCCTTTCATACGGTCTGTTTTTAAGCCCTACTCTTCGCGTCTGCTGCACGCTTGCCTCGGCGCAATCTTTTTTACTCTTGGCTGTCTCACGTCCGGTTTGGGACTCTGCAGTGACTGGTTCCGTCAGAAAGCCCTTGTCGATTCAATCGATGATCACGGTGTGCGTCTGCTGGTCTTCTATGTTCTACTGTTTTTCTTTTGCCTATCGGCTTCGGTAACGCTGAAGCAGGTTTATGACAAGTATCTTGTAACAAACACTTCTGAAGTACTTTCGAAGAAGAACAAAAACGACAAAAAGAAGTAGTAGCCTACTTCTATCGACCATCGTGCAATATCTCTTCCGGTGCAATTTCTTTTCAATTTATGCCCTAGCCTTATTATAATATAAACCTTTTATTCCTTTCTTTTGTGTTCTCACCGATCCCTTAGCCGAAAAACGAGGTCCTGCTAAATTTGTTCAGGGTATGAGGATCGTTCTCTTAATTTCATTACTTGTTAATGAAATGTATGATTTAAGTAGTTTGTTAAGATCTGCAAACCATTTGGCGTCACTATCTGCAATAGCAATTCCACGCAGCATTCTCTTTCCGATATTTGAAACTGTTTAGCCGCATCACAAGCGCATTAGCTATCTAGTTATTACTGGCTAGGCTCTATTAATTACCAAATTGCCTTGCGTCTTGACAAATTATTTCAAAAATAAGGACAACATCGAATAAACTAGGGTGGCTAATATGGATTTGGTTTAAAAATGTTCGTCAAATATGCCTCAACAAGCCTTGGATTGGTACCGAAGTGGCTAAATGCCGAAAAGGTGTGTTTTGGCAGAATAGTTGTTTGATAGAGACAAAATCATCTGTAAAAGTTGCTGGGGAGGGATATTCATTTGTAGCCAATTGGCTAATTTACTTTGTGCCGAACATTCCGCTTCTGTTGGTAGTAAGTAATTCCCTGAAACAGTAAAATGGTTGTTGTTAATGTGAATGTCGTTGTATGGTGCCTGTTTATACCAATTTCACTGAGTCACTGCAGTATTCAGACAAGTTTTACCGCTCTTGGTGTGTTTGGTGTACTATATATTTGAAAAAATCTTTAAGAATAATGATAAACTTTGGTTTTGACCGATGTGTTTTTGTTCAAAACTAAACGTCATCAACGCTAATATCACTGCATTTGAAATTTAACTTGGACGGTGACATGCCTTATCGATAACTAATTGTCTACTATACAATTATTCATCAAAATGGCTAACTTGCAACTTTTAATGAACGCGGTGATTATTCTGAATGGACGAACGGTGTCCTACTTACTGGTATCTTTTCAGCATGTACTTCAAGCCTTCATAGATTCCGGAACCGAAGGCTGCCTTCGATTCAACTGTAGTCCTTCTAATGACGTCTCGCGGTAGCTTTTCCTTCAGGTTTTCACTGGCGTACGTGTAGAGCTAGGATAAAGAGTTACGGTAAACGTAAGTAAAATTAGAGTTATTTGAATCTCTCTCTCTCTCTGCCGCTACATCTAACGCGAAGCGGTATCCTCATTGCTTGCTAACGTTTTAATTCACGTTGGCCAATCAAGGTTCAGCTGGTGGGATATCACGTGTCCATTGGTCTTTGGGGTCCAACTAAACACCACCTAGCCAATGTTTTATTTGCTAACAGATCACATTCATAGCCCTAGATTCATTTTCTACACATCGACTTGGACGCAAAAGTTCAGAGACCCAAGAACTTTCTCGGACTCATTGGAGCACCTGCGACGGTTTCGTCTTGTAACCATGAGTTATGCCAGAAAGGACTTACGACTCCGTCGTTCTTGGAGTAGAAAATTATAATTTTGTCAGGTTCCGATTCGCAATGAGTTGGAAGCTTCCAGGACTCGAACAGGTAGTAGCTGAATATCGCCGCGTAGTTGATAATATTTTCATCAGACTGGTCCTCTGCTCTCCTGCGAACGTCAACAAAATGCCGTTTTAAATAACAAACACCTCAAGTAGAGAGGCTTCACTTTTGTTTGTGAAGAAAATCTTTTTAATGCTAGTTGCTCATTTTCGTGTACTCCGAACTACCTTATCATTAGTGTGCATGGAAGTGTGGATGTCGAATGCCCCTTCACGAAGCGTCGAACCGTGGAGTTTTCCAGGTCCAACGAGTAAATAAATAAGTAAATGACCTCTCTATGGTAAGGCGTCATGTGAATATTTTGGGTAATCACTTTAGGCTGCGGTTAAATTTTACTTGCCAACATGAACCACGTGAATTATCGTTTACTCCTACCGATGTTAATTGTTTAACCCAATAACACATCCTGCCAAATAGCCCTTTCCGTTGTTGGCGCGGGTCCAAACAGCCATGTAAAACGGGGTCACAAATTTAACCCTGTATCTCACTGCACGGATGCATCTTTAACCAAGTTGAGTCCCAAAAGGGCGGGTCATAGGCAAACGGGACCGGCGCCCTAGCCAACTCCACTTCTGATTGACCGGTTGGTGTGGTGGACATGAATGCCTATGCATGTGACCCCAATTCCTAGATCCCATGCAAATTGTCCAACTCCCAGCAAACACGCCGAAACTTGTTGCTAGCTGACGGTCTTCAAGTTGTGATGTCTTTAAGTCCAGCTCTACTGCGCGTGCCCTGACTTATTTATCACCCCATACTTCGGATCCTATCTGTTGACTAGGACACTCACCATCATTCATTACTTCTTCAGTACACGTCTGCGACCAATAAGCAGTCGTGATATTGTACAAACAGCACAAATGGTTTAGGCTACCGAGCAAGAAAGGTATCTTTGTTTCGTACCTGGGGATTCAACAAATCTTGCTTCTACCATTTCCCTAGCAATAACTAGATATGATGGTCTATCTCACTCCGGTCAGACAATCGTATGAGTCCAATCCACGTCGACTTATCGGCAAACGAAGAATGGAGTTAGCAAAAGTGTTCAGTCCCAGTTAGACTTACCCGAAACGCAGTCCGTCAACCAGGGCAATGGCGATGGTGGGTCGAGGATAGCTTCGGTCGCACTTGCCTCGATCGCTGTTGATTGTCTCCTGCATTCTTATGAGATGTCGATTAAGCTCATTCACTAAACATGGATGAATTCATCGGGTTAGTTAGGCGACCAATCAAAACAGAGATTTCAGTCATTACGACGGCTTTTCTAATTGCACACATCCTGGTTTTACCTGACCTCAAGTTCACCCCGCAGTCGATTTTTGCGGGTCACGGGCTGTCAGATCTAAGGCCACAACATCCTTCTCGGGGTTACTGCGTTTCGTATCCTTGCCTCAAAAATCGATTTCTTCGATGTGGGTTCGAGTCCCGTAAAGGGGCTTCAATGTGCACCAAAGAACCTGAGCATTCCCCATTAAATCAAGAAAAATCGTATCTGTTGAAAGTGCATTTTTATTTCGGTCTTAACTGATCACTTACATCTGCCCACTCTTATCACCAATCATGTCACAGTAAATCACAAATGTCTAAAGCTAAAAGTTTGCGCCATGGCCAATTGGAAGCGTGACTGACTGATTTGATTTGGGTAAGTGGGTTAGGTAGCTCGTGGGTTTCATGAGTTAATAATACTGGTGAGCAGGCCTTGATGAGCTCCTGGGGTCAATGATGACGATGATGCAAGATGAGACGTGTGCGGAGAAAATAATCTGGCGGAGAATGGCCTCAACCTGGTTCCTATATTGGTGCGAAAAAACTTTTTTTTCCAAAGTTCGTAACAGTAAAAATGTGTTCAAAAATTTTGAAGCCTTCAAGAAGGTTAAATTTTTTCTAAAAGTAAATACGTTTTATTACACAGAACTATGAAAATGCTAAAAAGATGAGAATTGTTGAAAATTGACGCTAACTATCTTAGTATGGGTAAGTTCACTTAATTCAATTTATTACTAGATTTAAATGAAATGACCGAGGTGCAATTTGTTGACAAACGACAAAACTGGGCTTTTAATCGAACTTGAGCGAGGCAACTAAGACGATTTTTTGAGAAGTCACTGCAGCCAGAACACATTTTATATTTTTTATTTCAATAACCGCCGTAAACCAGTGAAACCCAACCTTTCCAGGATAAAAATTTTTGTTTGGATTAGTAGTAAACCCAGCTCTGACAACTGACGTAAGTCTGTGCCGATTGCAGGTTGTTACATGTGTGCTTCTCGTACAGTTTCAACAATTGTTTATTCAATCCAACAAAATGGAATCAGTGCCATCAAACCGCGCAATTTAACCACAGATGAAATCCTCTGATTTGAATAGCTTCTGAAGTAAATAGGTGATTAACCAACCAATTTCCTTCAAATCACTAACACTCGAAGGACATTATTTAAAACATAACTTTTGTTAAGAAACAAACAGCTTCAAAGCACGCCAGCTTCCTCCTAATTTTACTACTTCCATCTTAAAGTGTTGGTTAGTGAAAAAGTTCCACGTGCACTACCGAGAAAATTAATTGAAAGATTTTCCGATTTCTGGAACAAATATTAAACATAGTACGGATGCAAATCATTCCACGATGAACCATTCAGATGTACAAACCCGAAGAGGTTCATTTGTAGAAAGTTCAACAGTTTAACTGTGCATCAAAAATCACTTGACATAGTCCACGTCCAAGCGTGACGACATTGATGATGTTGATAGTGTTGACGAAGTTACCGCCTTAACTGGGCGCGTAGGTTGCCACACTTTCAGCGGTTATTTTGTACACAGAGACACGCGACAATCACGGGTAAAAATAAGTTTAAAAACGGCACTACGATTTCGCTCTCCGAGGCTTGACCGTGGGCAGTGAACCGGTCGCGAGAACGTCTAGGTTGATTAACCTGAAATATTGCCTTTAATCAATTTCGCCAAGATTGTTTAAATGCACCGCAGTTCTAACCACTTATTTCCTTCTGACGCTCAAAAACTGGCTTACCTCCAGAGCTAACTTAGGAGTAACGGACAAATGTCGTAGATAGATGACGCAGCGCACCGATTCAAATTCTCCATTTGCATTTTTTCCACAAAGGTACCGATGTGTAGACGATCGTACTTTTGTTATTTCGAATGTCAGTTGTGGTGTACCATGGTCGCTTTTCAAGTAAAAGATTTGCAAAAGCGTAGTTAGTCGCCTTAAAACAAGCGACTTGTAAACATAATCAGCATTGTTGTGAACACGAAAGCTCCACGACTCACAGTGACGTTGTGTTTACCTTAACACATCCCAAATTTCGTGCGTGTGTGTGGACATGTGTGAAAACCGGAATGTTTACGTTATTTTTGCCAAGACTCCGGTGAAGCGACCATCGAGAACCGCTTCGTTGACTGTAAATTGGGTCATGCGAGTGTACTCCTGGGGTGGAGTGGACTGACCTTGCGGCGACCAGCGACGTTTGCCGCGCACTGTACGCAAATCGTCGTAGTGGAATTAGAAGTACACAAGACAGGGTCGACTGCTGTGGGTCACATCTACGTCGAATTCGACTCTCGAATAGGTAAATGAGCGACATGTGTCGTAGTAGCATGGAACCCAGTTCTTAGTGGTTGAACAACTCCATCCCGTAATGTGCTGCTAGATATTTTCAACTTGTGATAGATTGATTTAATTTTAATATGCCCGATTTGATTAACACGGAAAAATGTCATTATTCACGCATTTAATGAGATCACATTTACTCTACAATTTATTAGAATGGCGACACATCAAAACTAGGAATAAACACATAAATCAAACTAACGTGAGATTTAAAAAGATGAGTAGTTAAATGAAATAAGGAGAGATATTGCACTCCAAAATTTATTCAGACTGTCGACAGTTCAAGAAATTAGGTAAATTTTACAGGGTTCATAGCGATATCTCGGTAGATACCACTGATTAACAACACACAAATGTACTATACCCGGAGATTTCAAATCTAGCCAACTCACAACGATAATCAGCAAACATTCTGACTGCGTACATATAAGCGCGAGGCCGTGAAATTTTGCTGTTGAAATCAAGGAGAAATAGTCGTGTCACCTTAAAGTCTGCCAATTTCCTCAATTGTTCGCTTTAGGTCGCAAAATTCACGTCATATCACGCACGGGTGATTCAGGTCTACGCAAAGTACCGAGCGCCAGACATTTCACGAGGTGTGCATCTTTATTGTGTGCAGGCAGAGAATGAATGTTGCCGCACCAACATCTGCTGCACACCCAAACGCCGCATCGGGTTGCAAAGTCAGACCGTTTGTTCTGCAGCATCCAACCTCGTCGTCTGGTTCTCCTGTCTTTAGTCGAGGATTTCCGGTGATGACTTGCACCGGCAGGTCCTCGTCTACGGAGCGGGGACGCCCAAATGACTCCTCGTGTCTGCGAGAGAAATTAGCCAGTTGAAAATCGAGCAGCCCACCATGAAACGGTTTCGCCAGGAATGGCTTTTCGGTTTCTGAATTGATAAAATCCTAATTCTGTTTTGCATGCCTTGAAGTCCAATCCGAAGAGGAAACGCATTGGATTGTGAAGATATTGCACAGCCCGAGCAAGTGCATCGCTTGAGCATTCAACTGTTCTTTCGTCTCCGTGTCCTTAAAACGGTTGGCGGCACCACTGTGAAGAGGCTGTGGCCCTGCACCATCGTCATCGAGTCTGTTGGAAGGACAATTTGTTGAGCTGGGTGCTGCCTTTCGAAGTGTGGGGAATCTTGCTCAAAGGAACGCTCCAATTTCCAATGCATCCTGCTTGTCCGAGGAGCGGCCCTTGAACGTCAGCGTCTTGCTTGGCCACCAAACACTCAACTACTCCAAAGCGCAAACTGACGCCGTTGGAAACCACAATGTGCAAGACACTAACTATGACTTGTTAACACTAGTGAGTTGTCAACGAGGCAATCAAGAGTTAGGCACAGATTCGTTGACTCGGTGCCATCGACACATAAACCAAACAGCCAATTACAACTTTGCCAAGAAACAATAAGCTGCACGTCACATGGCATTGTGTAGGGAAATATGTCCATGAAAATTACACTCCATTAGTGTGAAAGATGGCTGGAATGGCGCGTGTTGAACCTTGCAAAAGACCTGGCCGGAATAAACCTACGGCAAGAGTGGAAATCGAAGGCACTTCGAACGTCCTTTTGACAATTCAAACTAAGAGTCTCGATCGAATCATGGCCTGGATCCAAAGTTTGACCCAACCAGCGACTGCAGAACTAATCATGTGGACTACTGAAATCTCTAATAAAAGGTATTCTTAAGGTCGTGGTGAGCAAAGAAGGCATTAATCTCACTGATCTCCAAGACAGAAAGAACATTGGGAGTTGATTGTAGCGAAAACATACTGGGTATTTCGTCAACTAAGCTCTCTTTTAAATCGTTAGTATGTCGATTCTATGGCCTAATTTTTTCCACTTGAAAAGCATCTAGTCTGAACCTTCTGATAAATGTTATGGAAAATCTCTAGATCGTTCCATGAACAGAGGGGAATCCCTTTTTACATTCATTGATCTGGCAGTAGGATAGTAAATAACATAGTTTAGGCGCTGATCTTGCAAGTCGTGGCCACAGATGTCTAGCAATTTGACCCTGGACAATCACCACATGAGTGACACTGACCTTGAGGGAAGAAGAATCCCGATATCCAGAAGGACGTTGGCGCACCATTGATTACCCAGATGTTGATGAACTCAATCCTGAGGATGAGGTCTTTCACCCAAGCACTCAGCGGTTTCAGACTTGGATAGGCCGCGTTCTCCCACAAACTTGGCAAAGCATTGATGAGGAATGCGGTGTAGATGAGTTCTAACTCCTCAGACATGACAACAAAACCCTTCACCGCCTTCTGCAGTTGGATAAGTGACGTCTGAAATGGCAGGTGTGAGAAGTGAATAGTGCTATCTTAACTGTTACACACGCAACACTGTCGCACCTGAAATCCCCGTTGAATCAACACATTGGCCGATGTCATTTATTTTCCTTTAAATATGTTACTACGTAGGTTTTATTAGTAGGTGTTGATATTTAATTTACCTCGATGATCCTGAGCAATTTGTTATACCGGTCCACTTCTTGCACGAGGACGGTGGTGAGCGAGTTGACGCGACCCTTGCGGTCGAGGTTGAAGAGGTCAGGCCGGGCCTTCTCTTTGTCAATGTACTTGGGCAGGCTCCCGAGGATGTTGCCGGCCAGCTCCAAGACGACCTCATCCGGGGTCTTGCCCTGTTTCCCCTTGCTCGACTTCGGCTGCATCTCAAGTATGGTGCTAAGAAGCTTAACAGTTTCCTTTTGCTGTAGCAGAATAAGAAGGAAATTGTAAGAAATGCCCTGTGGACCATGTAATATAATGGGAGGCGTTTGTGTTTTAAAAACAAAGCTAACTTGGAAAAGAAGGTTCGCGTTTTCGTGCATGGCGAAGATCTCCGTGGGATCCAAGATGGGGAAGGTTTCAACATACTCCTGGAATTCCGCTAGCGTATCGTAGTCGGGTGCATAGAAGAGACCGGATTCGGAGAAGCGGTAGTCCGGTTTGAGCATGTCTTCGCAGAAGAAGCGACTTAAAATCACCGTGAGACATCGCTTGTCCCATGCATCCGTCACGCGACCGCCGTAGGTAATCTGTGCAAGTTCAAGACAAGACGAACAGACACTACTAAGCAATGATTAGCCGATCTTGACACAGCGTCGATTACCAATTCGCCAGGCCGCAAAAAATTTCAATGATTTCAGCCTAACCATATCAGCCTGTGCTAAACGTGTTCTTCTACAGTTGTCGTACTACTCATAAATTTTATTAGTAAGTGTTTCCCGGATCAAGTGTAACACGTATGTGAATGTTCCTTGAAATCGATCAAATCAAGTCCGCATGCTGCCCTCAATTTGTGCTAATCCTGAAATAGTGGATGTCACAGCTCACCTCAGCAGTGATGTATTTGAGCGCGTCCCACGCAAATCCGTTTTCATCGGAGAAGAGGTTTAGATTGAGCAGGGCGCATTCACGATCGGAATCGCTGAACTCGTAGGGGATGTTCCAGCCCAAGGGACCAAACTTCTTCCTCTCAAGAATCACCGCATGGAACAGACACATGCCGAAGACGACACGACGCCAATCAACATCGAGTACTACAAAAAATAACGGCTAAGGTTAGGCAGTTTGGCAGTCCACTAGATCATGGCGATTCGTGTCAGTGACGCATGTCTAGACACCGCTGGCTGTTTGCTCCTCTGTACGTCCGTGAATTGTGAGTTCGTATGACCGTCAGAATCACGACATACGTGAGTTGAGCTGTATATCCATCACCCATGATGGCCTTATTCGTCTCAGGTATCTGCGTAGCATACCTGGAGCTCAATACTTGTCGTCTTCGGTGTGGGTTCGAGTCCTACACCAGAGTTTCCACTATGAGTAATCCACCTACAACCTCAACAATGTAATCGATGATTGGGGTTTGTTTGTGAAGCCAAAATAAGCCCCTTAAACGCAGACCACAAGAGTGAGAACACGTAAGAGGGCAAAAAGGCAGGCGGCGCACCATTGTCCTCGAAGAACTCGCAAGAGATGTCGTTGAGAGCTCGTCGGACGTTGGCCCTGATCCCCATCGGGGGTTCGTTGGTGACCTTAACGGAGTTCTGCAGCACGGTGATGGGGAAGGACTTGGCGGGCATGGAGCTGAGGAAGAGGCGATAGTCCGGGTGGACGCTGTCGGGTGCTTCGGACCGCTTCTTAATTATCTCCTCCATACGGACCATCCACGATGCCGCCAAGTGGCAGTTCTACAAGAGGAAGAAGCAGCCGATCACTTGCGTCTTATTAAATTTAAGCCTACCTTATTTTTAACTTTCATCCTATCTCACCTAACAGCCCCTGTACACAAATATAATATATTAACTTTATTCGATTGTAAATTTTAGCTTGGCGTTGACCTAACACTGAATATAAACCACAAACCGATAGCCCTAAGTTGTATCGAAAGTTATTCTGGCTCACGCTTTCCTATTGGTTAACAACCTTGAGAGCTCACCACCATCTTCGATTACCTCATTGTTGATTACAAACGGATCAGATCACCTTTCATAACAACACAGAGTAGTCTAAGTGACTGGTTGTTTTATCTTAACTGAATTTAGCTGTGTTTATTCTGGTTTCACTAATTACAAGTTACGGGCAAACGTAGCATCAACCTGGCACGTGGGCCGTTCGCAACACCCCAGTTGAGGGTTATGAATTCACACCTTTTCTGTGGCCTGTTGACCACTATGTACTGCCTTACAGTCCTAGGTCAAACCTCCCAATAATAAATTACCGAATTTCTAGGGAAAACCGCAACTCGCCTGTAGGAAAACCCAGTCGCCAGCTTCCGCGGCCTTCGTCATTAGTTTTTCCGCTGTCACGCCCTGACCCTGACCCAAAGACACCGAGTGGACGCGTTCCAAGTAGTTCATTTGCTTTGCGAAACGCTGAAGCTGCGCCATCGGATCCGAGCCCGTGGAGAGGACAAACACTAGCGGCGTGACCGAATCCATGTTGGCGTACAGCAGCGGCAAATCGGTTGCGGGCGTTTCAATGAACTGTCGTCCCAGCTGAATCCTAACGAATTCCGTCACGGCGGCCACAAAGTCCTCGTCCTTGATGGCTCTCACGAGGATGGTCTTCTGGAAGGGCGTGAGCCGTTCGTCCCAGTCGCCGACTGGAAGTTGCAGTTCCTCCGGGGGACTTAGGGCAACCGTAAGACCCTCTGTAGGGGAGTCATCAGGAGCTCGGAAGTCGACGGATATCACGTTCTGGGTGACGTCCTCGGAGAGGCCCTTGAACTGGTCTGGAAGTGCGGCCTCAAGACCGCAGATGGCTCGCCACTGGCGGACTCCGAGCCAGCTAAGAGTTTCTTCAGGCTGGGCTGGTCCGCTGAATTCGGACTGCGTGGCACTGCCAATGAGGTAGTCCCACTCAGCCTGGGAAATCTCGCCATCGTGCAACATGATCTTGGTGCACAACATGAAGGAGAAAACAAGTTTGTGCTGCGCGAAGAGACTGCGAGCGACGTTATTGTAGGTTGCAAGGGTTACGGCGTCAATGAGTGCCTCTGCGCGGTCCACTGTCTCGTCTTGAGGACAATTTTCTATTGTCTGACTAAAGAGCTAGATGCCAAAGAGAAACAGAGGGACTTAGCAGTCTGCAAATAACATGGTATCTGTTAGGTGCAACCTATGGTACCAGAACAGTACTAACATTACAGCATAAAATCTGTTAGTCCCATTTTTGAGAGCATGAAATACCCGAGAAGTACACTAGAGACATCCTAATTGCAGTGCTCACCGATGTGAAGTACTTCAAAGAAAACTGATACATCGGATCGATTTCGGCCAGTGCGCTGATGACGAAGTAGAGAACGGAGCCTCGTGCGGCGATGGGCACGTACTTGGAACGCGCCTGCGTTATCATCTCGCCCGTGGCCTCTGCCTCCACCAGCCGCTTGGCGATCTCCGTCGAGGTCGTCTTCGACTCGTTCAGGGTGTTGATCAACGCCTCGTTGTCCAAAATGTTGCCTTCCGATTCGAAGAGCAACTGCAGAATCTTGTCTTCAATTTGCTACATGGTTAAGAGTACACAAAAGGCTTAATAAAGGCGTTTCGCATTTTCTGCAATCAAGATCTTTTTTTGTGTGACAAGTGCAGAGAAGTGTAGCTATCTGAAAATTTCATATCGTCATTCTAACTGATCAAGAGGTAGGGCATCAAAATGGCACGACACAACTTGGAGATCAGCTGCAGAAAGGATCAAAGTTGACCCTGCAAAACCGATCATAAAATGTTGCCTTCCGATTCGAAGAGCAACTGCAGAATCTTGTCTTCAATTTGCTACATGGTTAAGGGTACAAAAATCTAGAGGGGCAAAATCACATGCGAATCAAGAGCAGGAAATATGTCAATCCCCGTGGCACGAAACCTACTTGGAGGGTGATCTTGTCAGCGTTGATGAGCACAATCAGTTCAATGCGTTGCTCCTCGAGCTCCGGTCTCTCTAATCGGGTGACCTCACTTAGCAGTTGGTCTTCCAGACCTAGTGGTGTGACGGTGAAATTAATGAGTGTGACCTTGATGGACACCTCAGGCATGTAGTGGGGATTGGGCAATTTCGTAGTAATGTAGAGCTTGAAGTTCTTGTCGTAGTCCACCTCGCTGTCACCTAATCGAATAAGCAGCCGGCCGGCCTTGATGTAGGTGTGTTTCAGCAGAATCGGTTCCAAAGCTGGATCCAGGGTCTCACCCACATCCTCCATTAACACCGGACACCCGGTTCGAATGGCGTTTTCTAGAATTCGAAGCATCTGGCCGTCGGTTGCCTTGACGACGCGTATTCCGTTCTCGGATTCCTTCGTACGTATCCATCGATTGGCTTGTTCCTGTGGATCGATCATTAGCGGCCAGCGGCGTGAGTGAGCAACTAGAACACCATTCTCTGTGCTGACTTGGTCTCTTGGAAGGCCTTGCGAATTCCATTGCCTCAATTCAAAGGCGTCACCAAGGACATTGAACAAGCCGACATTCTCGCTAACAGGGACTTCGAGTTCCACGCATTTGTCAACCAAGGCCCTGACCATGTCCTCCCGATACTCGGTAGTGAAGGCACCGTAGTAGGCGACGCAGGCAGCCGCGATGAATACGTCCCCGACAAGGTTGTTAAGCTGGGCGTCGTAGACCCCAATAGATTCGTTCCAGCGTTCTTTTTCGCTGGACAAGGCAGTGGTCAGTTTCCCGGCACGTTTGAGACGGGCTGCTGTCAACGCCAGATTGTGCTCGAGGGCCTTTTTCTCACCAACCGACTTATCGTAGGTGGCCTGGAGTGCGCTGATCTTATCCTCCACCTCCTTGAGAGCTGCCTGTTTCTCGCGGAGCTTCGAGACTACGACGTCTAGTTCCTTGTTCGCCTCTTCCAGTCTATGGTTCGATGGAAGAACACGTTTAATGGCATTCCAGAAACCAGCATCAACTCACGAAGTTGCCAAGAAAACTTGGACAAAGTAAATGAATGCTTTACAACTAACCGTTTTTTCTTTGGCTCGACAGTTCTGTAGACACGGGCGTAGAGTTCCAGTGCACGGACCCACATGCACAACGACTTGCAAGCCTTGCTGACCTTCTCGACAACCGAGGGAACAAAGTCTGGGTTGTCGACGTACTTCTGGAGTTTCCTGAGCAAAGCATCCGAGATGGTGTCCTTCGGATACTCAACTAGTTTGCGCAGGAAGTTGCTGTCACCCAGGACTGTCTTGGCCGTGGTCCAGTCGGTTCTAAAAATAATTGAAACTAAGCGATACCTCGGTGTAACGATGGAGATGCGATCGTTAAGGCTCTAGCACGTTGATAAAAAGACAGATAGCAGAGACAAAAAGCAAGAGTCCAGCTGGTAAAACGACACTCACTTTTGCCCCAACATCAAACAAACCGCCTCCATGACGGTCTGCACGAGTTGTGGCGGCTTCGTGAAGACGCGAATCTCGGAGATGTCGTTCTTGTCAAGGGAGTCGAGAGCCTTGTTGGCGGCATCAAGTGCGGGCATTGCAGCGTCCAAGTCCTGCTGGGCGTCGTCAGCGATTGCTTGAGTCTCCATGGCCTTCTGCTTGGCATCGGCTTCGTCCTCCTTTACCTTATTCCGCACGACATCGGCCTAGATACAGAAGACAGCATGTTTTCACCACTTGAACTAGTGTTTGGCAAAGTCAAGGATAAGAGATGTAGACTAGGCGTGTTCCACACGAAAATTTGAGGAATATGTATAGTTTGGCAGAGACTGTAGAAGCAAAAATGTACTACTTTACAGTGGCATTCCTAGTAGGCTCCACGGTAAAGTCAGGAACACATGCAAAGATTAGTCCAAGCAGTGGTTCGATCTGCTGAGACACGGTAGGGTAGCTTCTCCACTTTAACTCACTGTCGCCAGTTTTAAACATGTGTAGTACAGAATATTCCGCAGCTACATGCATGAATTCAGTAGTGAACTAAACAAAAGAGCAGCAACTACGGTGAAATAGCAGTGAATTTGTAGACTCAAATAGGTAACTGTCACGTGGCACGCAACTTGGCACCATTATTCAACCCCTGTGGCCCTTTTTTATTAGGTGGAAAATTTTAAGTTGGTTTAATAGTTGACTTTTGTCAACAAATCGTTTTAGCTGACTATTGTACCTCGATTGTCTTGGTGCAGTGCAGTTTTGCACTGAAAGCTGACAACGCACGTTGAACACATGAGGCAACCCTATTGGCTAATTTAGAAAGCGCGCATTTTCACACCGCGTGATACTATAACCAATCAGGACGTTGAACCTGAGGCGATTAACCAATCAACAAGGGATGTGATAGATTCCACCAAAGGCGTCGTGACTGCTGGGGCTAGTGGGTGCACGTGACATTCGAGGCTCCCGGCGCAGTAGTGACATGCCGTTTTCGTCGCAGCTGATCCAATTCCGGGGTGTCGTGCTAGTTAGTGTTAAAAAATGAATTATATAGTTAAAAATTCTGTTTAGCGACTCACTTTTTCTTGATCTTCGCTGAGTTTGTTCATAAGCTTCTCTGTATCCTTTTGTTTCTGCTCTAATTTGGGCCTCAGGGCCGTGAGGTCTTTTTCCATGTGGGTCACAAGGTCGTTGGTTTCCTGGATTTTGTCAAGACCATTCTTGAATTTGCCTTGCATCGTCTTCAGCTGGCTACAGGGGAGAAATCCGATGCTATCATTACTATTTTCTCTTGGCAACTCTGTTTGCAACTCCGTTTTCTTCTTGTGTAGAATTTCTAACGCCCAGCGCAGTCAAGCCAAATATAACAAGGGAGGTCGGCGGAAGTATGAATTGTCGATAACTAGGAATTTTAATAACTGGCGACCACCCAACAACTTCCAAAACACGAAAAACTGAAGGGTTTGTGGGCATTCGTGACCTTCAAGATAACCAATCCAAGTACACCACCCACTGACCACACCACATTGACCAACGACTTACTTTCGACGGTTGTCAATCATTACTCTATAGACGGAGAGCAGCTCCAAGTAGCTGGTCGGTGTTGTGTAGTAGTGTCGTTTCAGCTCCTCGAAGAATCGAACGGCCAATGTAGACGCCGTCATATGCGAAAATGTGCACAGCTCAGCTATCTTGTCCTATTAAAATAGCACATGATCGAATTAAAAGCAACCAGACAATTGTACCCGTCAACTACTCCAACTCAACAGGAGTTACATTCGACTTCTGCGGATTGCGATAAACTGACCTATAGTCTAGACTTGGGTTTTAGGTGACAAGGACATGTTTTCATCCGTATTCATAAACTCTCGCACAGGACTACCCAAAAACAGTGAGATTTAAAGTCAGATTCTTCAACGGTGACGTTGATTGTAGCTGAAACGTAGCATTGGGACAGTAAATGCCCCATCTCACTGAAATGTGGGAAGGGAAAGTCGAAGGACGTCAACATTAATTTTGCCAACGACTTGCGAATTTCCCTTCAGCATTCTTCACCGGCGAGTGATTCTCATGATTCGCCATAAATGGTCGTGGTGATTACTCTTGTGGGGTAAGTAGTAAGTGGCTGCTATGATAGTATAGTCGGAAATCAGCTCATAATCCGACTAGACTCCCCCCACACCACCCACTGCATAGAATTGGCGTCTTGAACACCTTGTACGAAATGGCAAGCTCCTTGTGTTCTCCTGAAAAGGCTTAAGGCGTACCCGGAAATCTCGTATCAGCTTGCAAGTAGTGGTACACATTTCGGCCCACACTCTTGATTATTATGTGGAAAAAATCCGAGGTAATGTCCGGCGTCAATGCATGGCTCAAAGATGGATTAAGTGCCCCATCTATTTGTTAGCCCGTGTGCGAAATTAAACTACTGATTTTCTAAATATGTAGCGCAGATATACTTTCGAGTCGTCAGAATTGCGTGTACGTCCATGAGCACTGAGACGGGAAGCGAACCCAAGCCTACCTTGATTTCGGTAGAGTCTATTTCCAGCGATGCGAACGAAGACTTGGCTACCCCATACAACGCCTCCTCTGGCCACTCCATGAACCAGTCGATGGTGCAGCAGTTGACCAATGAGGGGAACATTCGACACCGCGAGCGAAAGGCCGACCCCACAGGGGACATGGCTAGCACCAGGTGGAGATTGTTCCTCACTCGGTCGATGCAAAACTTGTAAATGGCGTCGCGGTTCCCCTCGGCTATGCCCGCGTTCTTCGCGGCCGAACGACAACCAATGATGAGCTTTTCGTAGTTCTCCGCGTCCAGGAGTCCCGGCACCTCGCCCGAATTGAGGATGTTGTTGAGGTCCTCGACAAACTCCTCCATGATGATCTGGTTGTCGGTGAAGAGGAAGGCGGTGGGCTTATTCTCCACTCCGGTCCACACGTAGAGCTTCAGGAGGTCGTCGTGGAAGGACTCATAGTTGTAGCCTCGCGAAAGTTCGATTGAAAAACATTGGTAACCGTTTATGTGAGCCGCCAGTCTAAAATGGCAGAATCGACATCAAAATTGTTTAATAGATGCGAAGTATCGATGCATTCGCAAAACACGGATGTGTTAAAGTTCTACGGCCTGCACAGAGAAACAGAGATGGCACAGGCATTGTCGGTAATTCTTTGAATAGTAGGTAGGAAAATACAAGAAAAAGCTTGCCTAAATGCTCTGCGGTTCTTCTAGTATGGAGAAATGAAATAGTCACCTATGATGGTTAGAACCAACTCAAGATTCCAGCAGTCGAGTCTGGATTGGCTAACCAAGCAGCCAATTAGCTTACTTTGTCAGAGACTGCTTCCCCGTTCCACCCACACCGACTAAGAGCGCGTTTCCACGATCTTGTCTGAGCATCCTTGCTATCCGGCAGATGTGCTGAATGGCGTCCACGAAGAAGACGATACGAGTCTCCTTGGTGTACACCATGTTGTAATCATCGAGGTACTAAAACATTGGTGAAGGCAAATAAAGCACTTAACTAAAGCACTCAGCGAATTCACAACAAAGTGGGTTGTTTGGTGCATTAGTGTACGTTCCACTGTTAAGACAAGCTCCACAGGAAAATTCAAAGCTCATATACATCTCCAAATTACTGACGACACCATACTTGACCCACAATGCTAGGTCCATTACTGAGCAATCGACCAATCGGAGCTTTGAGTTCAAAACCGCTCTCGACGATTGGTTGGTTTGGTTCTCGATAGCCATCAGTTTTACAGGACTCACTTGTTTTAAAATCGCCTTTGACAAAAGAAAACAAAACCAACTTGACAACGAAAACAATTATGCTTAGACAAAAAGACAGCAAGCTTGATTATCACATTTCAAACAAAGATGAGTGTGCAGTGGGCACTGTTGTATGTCCAACCGAACGCACGTCACAAAATGGATTTAAATTATTCTCTTGTTGGAGTCTTTTTAATTCGCTGTTGGCCAACTTCATTCTGGTCGATCTACAGAAATTGCTGGTGCCCAGGACTGAGCCACAATCCAATCGAATCGGGTCACGCAACTAAGCACGCGGTTGTAGAGAAGCTGATTGCATTGAACACAGCAGTCAGGAATCACGTGTGAAGTTTCATGAACTCGTAAAGCATTGAAAGACGTTCACCCAGCACAATGCCTCAATTTTTGCAATGCGCAATGCAGTCGTCCGCCGATTTCAACCGAACCAACGTCGATAATTGCAAACTTGGTGTTCTAGACCAATATTAATCGAAAACGATCATGGAGATGGTTCGTGATGGACCAGTGGTGAGTGTCACATCGAATGTTGAATGGCATTAAGGGGATCATGGACACTTTGGGCTGCTCCCAAGGGACTAAAAGATGAGTTCCCACTATAAATTGCCTTATATAATCATTTTGAAATAACAGTCTGGGTTTATCATCTAAAACCAACACAGGCAAAAAGCCCACCTCCTGCATAATTCCCTTCAGTTTGTCCATGTCGGTGATCTGCTCGTAGAGTCGATCTTCACGAGGAGCTCCAAACGACATGAAGTCGCCGAAGAACAGGGGGTTCTGCGAAAAGCTTTGCGGTTCAACGTTCTTTAAGAAAGGAAAATCAAAACGCCTGAGGGTACAATCGTGAGTGATTTTCAGAATCTTGTGTCAGTTGCGCACGACTTTGGACATTATCAAGTTGTAACCCTAGTATTGATTCTGTCGAGTTCATGAGTGGATGATTTAAGACCATTGATTAGGAAATACTTCGTATCTATCAGGCCTGGACTTGTGTGCTCGTGCGCCATTCAATTATTTTACGTAAAGAAGGCGGTTAACCAGCTTTGGTCAGAATAAAACTAACATATAGGGGGTACACTGGGGTTCTATGCATTTGCCTCACCTCGCTAAAGTATTTGGTAGCCGTTTCCGCAAGTATGGTGTTGAAGAACATGCGGTCGGTATCGTCAACCAGACGATCATGGAAGACTCGGCTGCACTCATGGTAGAAGAGCCGAGTCATGCAGCCCTTGTCTCGAATCGACAGGGGGTTTGTCTGAAGAATGCCCTGAATGCACTTAGAGAGGTCCCGCAGATTGAAGACGTAGTGCGACTTTGCTGGCGTCGGCAGAAGCTCCAATGTCATGCGTCCGTAGATGTCCACGGCGCCGTTGACAATCGAGTCGGCGAGCGGTCGCAGTGCTTGCGCAAAATCCAACATGAAACCCTAGTTAAAGCAACATCTACGTAAACCCATTTCTCCTGCTAACAGTTGCAAAATACACACTCCAGATGGAGAATTTACCAACATTCAACGTGGCGCTAAAAACGTGCATATATGTTGTTGAATGCAGTCTATGTAAAGATGTTTTGCGAGGTAAATTTATTTTCCGACAATTGGAGTAATGCTTTTACAATCCAACACAGTTCGCTACACTGTGGTGTCAGTTTGTAGTGGATCGTGTTGATTCACGTCCATCAACTCACGGCGTTTCCATCACACAACGAGGAACCGTCGGTTACTTCACCCCTGCGCATGTGCCTGTCCCTCTGCTCATTCTGCCCATTTGGCCATTCTGTTATTTGTACTTTTACAAGTTCACCCAGGCTATATAGGTCACCAACTTCATTGGGCATGCACAAGCCACAAAGCAAACGTTTGTCTCCGGTATTCTTGGGTACCTGCATGGCGCACTCGAAAAAAATACAACGTATCGGGCCTTCGACGCATTTGAAATAAGATCTGCTTTGAGCAAAGTCAGCCTACCGTCATGATGGATGAGAAAATGTGCTTCAAGGTGATCTCTGCCGGAGACGGAATGGCGAGGACACTAAAATGGCGGACCAGTCGCGAGGTGATGGGATTTCTGCCTCCGCCTGGGGGTCCACAGGCTGCGGACAAGGTCACATCCTCAATGGAGAGCCAGGTCAGCTTTTCGCAGTCGTAGAACCCGCCAAAGTCCTGGATTTGGCGGAGCAGTTCAATGGGCGGCTGGCTACCGTAGGTATCCAGCTTCGGCATGTTGAGGTCGTCCACAAAGAGAATCACCCTCTTACCCTTCGGCGCTCCCAGAACATTCTTGCGGCGCTTTTCTAACTTATCAACAATCATTTCTAGAGTGCGTTTGCTGCTTGTCTGGGCGGAGAAGTTTATGAAAATGGGGACGTAGTTCGATTCCTCGCAGGTCTCGTCTAGAGTAGCACGTGCTATTGCGGTCTAAGGAAACAGCGGTTATAATGGGTCAGGGTTTTGGTGAGCACAGTAAATGGAAGAGGACTGAACACAGGTTAAATGATTGTGGATCAGTTTCATATTCCATCACGTGTCAAATTCCAGCATGGTAAAGATCGCGTTTTAGGACAACGCCTACACGTCCTAGTCTGGCCACAACTTATTCCACCAATCGTATGAACTGTAGATCTTACCTTTCCGACGCCTGTATTGCCAGTGTAAAGCACTGATTGGCCTGCACGAAGGAGCTGCTTCAAGATGTACCCATACCGCACTGTGTCCACCGTAGGCACGAGGCAGTTAAAGAAGGGCACATTTTTGTCGTACACGAACTTTGGAAGAAGCCTCTCCCACACGTCGAAACGTCTGAGTTTCGTGTCAACGTAGCAAGACCAGAGGTCCTGGCTGGGGGGCATCTACGAAGGGAAAGAGGTAGTAAAAATTAGGGTCACATCGATCGCACGCTTCTGAGAGACTTCCTGTTGGATGTCTGAGACATAACTGAAGGGTTTGAATAGGATTTCATTCAAAGTTCGACCCCGTGGATTTGGCTCTGATCGTGCAGTATTGCCTGATTCCTGAATCAACGACCTATGACACGGTCCACTTCCAGGCGCAGAAAACTTCCACAAACTAATGACACCTGAGAGCCTTAGCAAGCTGAGGTGATTCCGAATCAACATGTGCCCTTCGTGGTAACCTTTGAATGACCAGTGGAAGCGGTCTTTGAAATAACTGGCTAAAAATCATTTTGGTTTCGCAGTGTCAGACAGAACCCAGGAATGAACTCTAATCAATTGTACGTTTCCCTTCCCGTGAATGATTTCCGAGATTATATGAATTCCGACCTTAATCACGGCAAACAGCTGAACCAAGTGCGAATTTTGGTTCCTCATCATAATTTGTGGAAATTTGTCATGCAAGGATTTTTGGAAACTTCGAAATAAGTGGTGGTATGATAGCACAACTGCAGACGCCACTTCTCACACAAACTTCAACTATTTTTTACGAGTTCCCAAATCTGTACGAGAAATTACCTTGTCTTGGTGGAAGACGAACTTTGTGAACTGTCAATTCAGCCAACCTTTGCCTGCTTGATTTATAATCCACCTTCACGCATTGGTAAAAGTAGACGCTTGGTTCCTCCGAGGCAGTCCAAAGTATTCAACACGCTAGCGACTCCACAAAGTCGGCCGCATGATCCTCTTCTTAATGACATTTAACATTCAATATGGTACTCCAAGCTGGTTCATCACGAACCATCTCCATGACCGTTTTCGATCAATGGGTGCTAGTCAAAACACAGCAAAGTGTGGGGAAAGAGGGGAAGAGACTCACCCTGGCTTCCGGGCAGTCGTCCATGAGGTTCCTGATGAGGGAGTCGATCTCGTTGGCCTTGTCGCCGGTCACGTTGCCAGCCAGACCCCAGAGGAGGGCGAAGACGAAGATCATGGCGATGACAGGCTGCTGTTTCTGGATTTCGCCGGTCCCCACGTCCGGCGCCCCTGGGTGTGTGAGGGCTACCTCCATGAGAACGCACATCGTCTTCACCCGAGCTATCGGGACCTGCATGGTCCAATGGAAGGTGCGTTAATAAGGTCTGCTACGCTGGCCACGTACCTATCTGTTAGCCCATCTTTGATACTCTTTATTAAGCTATTTTCTTACATCACAATTCAGATGATAACGTGGTTCGTACAAAGAGTTATTTAAGCATTCGTCACCAACTCGTAGTGACTTAAGGACCCTTAGTTAAATTGGACAAGCAGGTTCGTGTTTTGTTTGATTAATCTCGACTCGGTGGCCATGACCGCTGATCACAAAAACATGCTGTACTCACCTGCGGAATGACGGTTGGCAGCTTCATGATGGCCTTCAAACCACCTTCAACGAATCTTTCGAACAATCTCAATATGTACTGACGCACATTGTCGTTTAGCTTGTCCTTCAGAGAATTCAGCCACGTCTAGGGAAATTATGAATGAGTGAGTTGACTTCGGAGTAATAAATGACACAAAATTTATTGCAAACCATTTGGATAAATACGTGGTCACGGCAATATCAACTCGGATACCCAGAAAGGCCACTTGTAGTTGAAAGTCAGCCATTTCAGGAGATGTCATGCTAACATAAAGCGATATTTCCTCTATATATAATTTTTAACCGCTGACTCCATTTGACTAGTATGAACCAGCTTTACTGGTCCCCTACACTCCTCGTTTGAGCGGAAGCAGTAATCTGGTGCAGACGTGACTGCAGCCACGATGTCTGAGGAACAAAAACTAGCGTCTCGGCGCCTCGGCCTCGAATTACAGGACTTGAGAAGTGACCAGAAAAACTCAGCATTCACCTTCACGTAAGGCAGCCAGCCGAGGTCGTCTGGGTCCACGTACACCATACCGCAGCGGCTGACGGTGGCGGGCGACGCGACAGCCAGGTCCGACACCTCGAAGAGCATGTGGACCCAGGGTGTGAGTTTGATGCGCTCCGAATTCGCCAAGCAAAGCATCTTGTTGTCATCCAGCACAGTATTCATGTTCTCGATCCACAGGGCGTCAACGGGTCCATCGCAGATGATCCACTGGTGGTCTGTAGTTGGATCCTGGAAATTCGAAAGCATGCTAATGTTTCAGAACGAAAACTCATTCTGTCAAGCACAGGCCACAAAATGTATGCCATTATAGCCAAGCCACCACGTTCCATTGAGGGCGTTAATGCTTTGTGGGAAGAAGTCTACCAAAACTATTTAGGATTCGAGGCAGAAGCTTGTAGAAGTACGCTTAAACCGTAGAAACAAATTTTCTCAGAGGCACTGATACATTTTTAAAAATGAAGGTGTAATTGTCTTACAATGCAGGTTTGCCGGACCATGTAGGCCATCAGACCGTCGTGCCATTCCATTGTTGATATTTCAACCTCCCCGAAGATCTCCCCCATGGTGATCGATTTGGGGTTCAGCACGTACACCTTGACAGGTTTATAATTGTTGTTCTTTTCTGCCATTTCGGGCATCTTTGAGAGGGTCTCGAGTGTCTCCGCGAGAATGCGGTAGACGGTTGTCTTGCCACCGCCCGTCGGACCAACCAGCATGACGCCGTGGCGCACCACCAGGGTCTCGTAGAACTGGATGACCTTGGCCACCTGCGACGGAACCACCTGGAGGTCGGACTTGACCGCGACTTCCTCCACAACGGTCTGGAATTGGCCGTAGTCATGTTCGGGGACCTCTACACCCGGGAAGAGATCTTGCAGAATTGCCTAGAAAACGGATGAATTGTGTCCGGAGGATTTTCAGCAAGGTCTCACCAAACATATTACTGCTTCCAATAATTGTTGTTCCGCGGGATTATTTGGTTTTCGTTAGTGAATGATGATTATGTTAGATAGGATAACTCAAGAGGCCGGCCTGTTGCATTCTGGATTGGATTAGTCAAACAACCACTTAATTGTCTCTATAAATTAATCGGAGAGGAGTTGCATATATTAACCAAAACCGTTAGAACTAACAACCCCGATTTAAGTCGAATGTAAAAATTTCTGTCCATTTCAAAAAATGACATTTCAAGACCGCCCTACAATATTCTACCTAATTCTTAATCAAAGTTAAAGACGGCATTTTAACGATTCCACTGAAAGCACTTTTTTCCATTTGCATCAGACATTATTTGATTGCCCTCGTAGCCCTGTGGAACGTGCAGAAAACCATGGCTGTAAGGGAAGGCAGATTTCAGTAATAATTCTTGGAACTCTCGCGATTTCTATGATTGGTGGCTCTAAGCCACACCACAAGCACGGTGACCGCCTACACCGACCACAGAGCTAGCTCCCTGAACGCTAATTCTCATTAGCCAATCGGCTGGCAGACCAAACCACCACTGTAGACTTGTGGCTACTCTCACTAACCGTGAAGAGAATGGCGTCTTGGACGAGGAATTTGGGCAGGTTGCTGTCGCGCAGGGCTCGAATAAGCACCGCGTCCTCCGGTTTGTCTGCGTTCTCGCGTTTCAAGGAACCGGCCATGACAAGCACGGACTTGAGCGCGCGCATACCGAAATCATAGTGGTCCTGTTTGGAGAGCTGTTCACTGCAGAGCTTGTACATCTGGGTCATCTTCAGGGCGAGGTTCTTTGACGACTCGAAGCCTTCTGAGTAGAGAATCACCTCAGCAATGAGCTCTTGAAAAGAGGATAATGAATCAATTTAGTAGCGGTCACCAGTCTGCGGGTCTTCATTCAATAAGACGCGATTCGATAAACACGTTTTTGTAATGAATTTTTGTCCAGAGGTCAGTAAAATCAACGTCATTGGTCTCAACACATTCAAGGTCACATCTAATATTAACCAATTATGGCAAAAGAGGTTCCATCTCTTTCCATGCCTTCTTTCCATACCAACGCAAATGGATGAAAAATTTTGTAGATTTTGCATTTCTGGCTGTGCATCCTATTTATTTTAATGTTAATTTCTCAAGATTTTATTTTTTTGATTTCTCATCCTTTTCTGTATTCATATAGGCCGCCCCATTCCTATTGGCCCATCCATCGTGCAGTGTAAAATTACCCTTAACGCACCAAAGACCGCCAACGCCATGTGTAGGTGGGCGCATCTGAGTCAGTACTAAGCCCTCTGCACGCGGTCTTGTCTCGTCCTGGTTTGGGGGGAGGTGCTGACTCATGCGTGTTTGTCCGGTGCTAGTGCGGGGACGTGCTGAACAGGGGGGTGGGTTCGATTATTTGTGAATGGGGGTCTTCCGTCTGTTTACCAAGTGACCTTGAATTCGGTTTTTCCGGTGGAATAAAACACCTTAATGATGGGCAGTGTAGGCGCAATTAACTCACTGTAATCCGGCACCATCATGGAGATAGGTCTGAAGAGGGCCTTCAAGTTGTCCGGCAGTTCAGTGCGGCCGGCGTAGCCAGGATTCATGGTGATGAAGGCAGCGCAGGACGGATTGAGCTTGATCTCCCGACCCTCGAACAGGAAACGACTCACCTGCATCGGGAATGGCAGAAGAAGCAGTGAACGTGAGGCATGTTAACTTTGAATTTGTTCTCCGAAGGTAGGACTTCATTAGCCCTACAAGGCGCCTTGTCGGATTGATTAGATTTCCTTTTGCCGATATGGGTGACAAACACTCAACTAAGGGCAATAGTTCAAATTTTAGAGATTTAAAAACGACTAGACAAATCAAGCCACATTAACTATCGCCTCAGTGGGTGTCAAGGAGTCTCGCACGAAGAAGTAAATCGGCCTTCAATTAGTCCACTCTTAATCGACATCGACAGCCACAGGACTGTTCAGCGTAGACCCACTCACCTTAGCTGACTTGGCATTTTTGATGGTGATGAGTTGTTGAGCGATGACGGAGAGCACTTCGATGTCGATTCGGTTGAACTCGTCGAAGCAACACCACGCACCGGACTGGGCGAGGCCGGAGAAAAACCGACCCATCATCTTGTAGTCCAAACCGTCGGAACAATTGAAGACGACGCACTGCTTCGCCAGCGCCTTCGCCAGGTCCTTGGTGGTCTCGGTTTTCCCCGTTCCAGCTGGACCCGCAGGTGCTCCGCCCAGGTCAAGTTGCAGGGCTCCCATCAGGCAGAGGTAGCATCTAGATGGAAACGGAAGGCGCGTTGGTTCGTTAGGTCTAAATCGACTGGTTAGAATGGCAATTGACAAACAAGCTGAACATGTCGGGGGATCGAGAATATGCTCAATGAGAAACCTCATCCTTGACGTTATTGGTAACAGTCTAGAAGCGAAGTATTCCACGAGACACTTCAAGCAAAGTAGAGCATTAGACAAAGGTTTGGTCAAGTGATTGGTGTCCAAATTGACAGTTGAGAAAGAAGCCGATTTGGTGGGGGAACAAGTGGAAATAACTAACCTGTCGGTGAGTGGAGTGATGACTAGACGAGGAGAGGCGCCCAAGTACTCGTAGCCGTAAACGTAGCGCGAGGTGGACATGCGCACCACGCAGTTGTCGATTGTCTCGTCCCAATAATACCGAAGCTGCCGTTGCCACTCGAAGTTCGTGGAAGAAGTGACCTCCTGTTCTATCATGGAGGTGATCATGTCGCGAGCGTGGACGTCAATTGTTATCAGCGAGCAGAACATCATGCGGATTAGTTTTGGCAGAGACCCTCTCACCAACTTCGCCAGGTTATTCAAAGTCTGTCAAGTAACGGTGGTAGAGGTGCGTAAGACGTTTGGTTAATGCTCTAGTGTCTGTTACAAAAACTCAGAATCAGACGTTTTCTGTTTGCTACGGATTTGGATAATGAACCGACCGATGAAAGAAGTGGATTGACACTGATCGTTCACGGCATTCACAAGTAAGCCCAGTTTACTTTAAATAAATTTTCTATAGACACGGAACAAGGTACAACTCTCTACGGTTGAGTCCTGATGATGCTAATATCGATTAATTTGCTATGGAACAGTAGGTTTCAAATGTAGTCTTCCGGGCGCCTTCGCACTGTCTCGCATGGACTGCTTTCAGAAGCTGACTACAACAGAAATAGAGACATGACACTTAAAAAAGAAGATACGTCGGTACGTTGGATTGCGATTGACTCCTTTGGGGCTATGGTGAGTCGTGGTGATTAGCATCCATCAACTCTGTCGCTGGATACTCAGACATCCAATCCCTATTTTCGTAGCTTTCCCATCAAAGACCTCACTAATATTTTTGAATTTGGTCTTGATTGAACCTTGACTAGTGGCGTTCTAAGTAGGAAATTCTTCAGGTCCGTTTACAAAACAACAGCGATATAACTTGCGCAAGTCTCACTTCGAACGAGTGCTCCTCGTAAGCCCTGAGGCCGTTCAGGCGTTCCTCCGGTCCGCTCTCAGGATTATCGAGGATTCCGTGAACGTCACGTGCCCAGATCAGCTGTTCCACGGTGAGTGTAATCTGATTAGTGTGTGCAACGAGCCAATCATCACGAGACATGGTGTCTACGTCAGCCAGGGCCTCCTTCATGCCCTTCCGGAGGCTCGTAACCATGCACTCTTCTGCCTTGCCTAGCCAGTCCTCAACGTTCCCGCGGGCTTTGAAACCCTAAAATGCAACCTACTTGATGAAATCAGTTTTCAGTGACGTGACCGGAACCGCAACGTATCATTCCACAGAGTTGAAAACTGATGTTTCTGGAGTGACTGGTTGTATTAGACACTGCATTAAAGGCACTTGCTTATGGTCCGGTGAAAGATGGGGTATACCACCTATATTGAAATGTGTATGATCCAAACTTACTTTGGCTCCTCACCAAAAGACTTTGAATACCAACGCCACAAACACACCGGAAAGCCTAATGGGTAGTGGACAGGCAGAACTGAGCAATTTGTTCGGTACTCAATGATGCATGGGGCCTGGTGCAATCTCAAATAACACCCGAGCAATAGAGGGTGCGTGTTGCCGCCCCAACGACAAGAAAGCACAGATGAATCAGACTTTAGACAGAATACATGGACAAACTTCACCAAAACCAACTTCAGACTAAGCAGGAAGAGGGGCGATTGAGACTTTACCTTGCCCAGAGAAACGCTTTCGCCTTCGGCTGATACCATGGCGCTTATGTCGTTGGTGAACTGCGGTTCTGTAAATAGAAGGCGAAGGATCGTGATGTAGATCACATTTGCGAAGTTTTAAACAGGCTCCACTCTACCTAAGGTGAAAGCCTTGTTCCCAAACTCTCTAGTTAAGCTAATGCCATATACAGACACAGTTCTGAGGTAGTCAACTTGATGCATGTTGTTCACGGCCTAAGGAATTTCAGTTGGAATTTCTTAGACCGCCAGATTTAAAGAGTGGACATGATCAGGCTATCGCAATCATTCATAAACCAATCCGATGCAAAAAGAGCTGTTTATCCAAGATACAGATCCTCCCAGATCATCTCCCGTTTCAATGAAGTGGAATTTCGAATGTAAGTGCGCTCACCGTCAGGTCCGCCGTCGAATCTAGGATTAGGAACGAATTCCAGACGGGCGATCGCATCAAAACACTTTTGCAGATGAGGCTGCACTGCAAGGGGGTTACGTGTCTGCGCCAAAATCTCTAGCAATTCGTCATTGGAAAGGAAGTAGAAGCGAGGGAATATGACTCGCTTGGATTCCAGATAGGCTTCCAGACACTTTTGAATCTGTTCCAGCAGGACGTTGTTGTTGCGGAAGGTGTCCAGCAGGCCTGGAGTCGTGGCCGCTCGCATCGCAAGAGGCACCTTCTGCACCTTCCGCATCACCTCCTTGAAGGACTTGTCCAGGGCCATGAAACTCTTCGCCTCGCTCGGCAGTTGACGCTGAATGTCGGGAGCCGAGAATATGCTCTCCAGATACATCCAACCGCGCTGGCAGTCAAGCCATTGCTCCTGGACAATGGGAATCGAAAAGAAAGTGTACATTACCAGCTAATACATACAGGCAATCTTGTTCCCTCGTTTTGTACCGGTGCAAAATCAAAGGGTGGAAAGCGACTGAAAGCGCTGATCACAACTGCTGAGATCGTATTTTAACGAACAGTTCAATCTTACACCAGTTGCTTGGTCAATTAGAATTTAGTTTGTTCAATGTGACGGCCAGTATTCGAATAGTCTTGGTGCGGAAGCTGTTGACAAGTTAAAACTTGGACGCACAAAAAGCTATTAAATCAATGGCAACAGAGAAGTACTTGCCAGTGTTTCACCAAACAGAGCAAGTTTCTGCACCCAATCGTCCACTTGCGGTCGGATCGGACCGACGTGCTTCGACGAGGCGATCGTGGAGATGCTGATGTTTGAATCGTCCCACAGCTGCTGAACCTCGTCAGTACCCCCCAGTACGTAGACGTCCTTGTAGGTCTTATAGGGGATCACAATAAATTCTGTTGATTTCCATGAGTTTTCAACCTGTGTCAGAAAAAAAACCATTAAATTTCGTGGTCCACCCACGTCACTCCAAATAACACAAACGAGCACACACATCCGCACAGAAAAAAGGTGCGTTTTAGAGCTTCTAATCCTCATTTCACCCAGTTTTTACAACAAAATGCGATCACCGAAATGCTGCGCGTAAAATAATTTTTAAGGCAAATAAAGCAAATAATTGGTGCCCACCTTCTTGAGAAGTGCTTCGAGACTCGCCTCAGAGCTAGCCATTCCGGCGATTTCACGGATCTCATCGACCTTTTCGAAGGCGTGCAACTGTTTTAGCATGCCGAGGGTCAGTGGTGAATCGAGAGCAGCTACTTTGAAGCCTAAGAGGTCCTCAAACAGCTCCCAATGCCGGTCCTTCAAGGCTGGGTTTCGCAAATCACTGATCGTTGGAAGCTATGGATAGGATATTACGCCAAGTTAATTGCCACAACGCCTGTTACTCATTAACGAGGCTCCAAATAAGGCTTAAGCAAGCACATTGGTACTTAGGAAGCCTATTTTGCCTGCTCTTTTAACGAAACCACGATCAATTCAAAAATCAGACTTACAATACTTCGCATCTGGTCGACTTTGTAGCGCAAAATGGGAACCACGTCGTTGGCGGGCAGTCCCTTGTCCAGCTGCGCTACTGACTTCACGTACTTCATCGTCGTCGAAGTGACTTCTTCGGGATCCAGCGTCTTGAACTCGACTTCATCCCACTTCATGCAAATTGCATCCCATTCATCCATGCTGCTCCAAAGGAGACGTTTCAGGCGAAGCTCCGAAAACAGCTCCTCCAGATCAACGTAGCGTGGCTGTTCCACCTGGAAAACGAAGGAGCAAGGTCGCTTAGTTCATTGCTAAGTTATTGAACACCAGGATCGTCGGAAGCAAATAAGAGATTGATCAAAGTATCTACCTCGAAACGGCGTGCATCTGGTTATTTTACTAAGAATGCATTCGATTACAAACTTTGGGGTGGATATGATTCTTTCGCTAAATAAAATATCCGGATAAAACGTTTCATAGGGGAAGTCACTCAAGTAGGATGCCTTCTGAACCTTCCACAAATCTCAATTTAGCGGTGATGCATTATACTCACCTTGACAATATTGGGATACAGCTTCCCAAGCCACTCCTGCAACAGAAGAAAGCATGGTGAGGCAACAGCCAAATCGATCAAATAACTGGAGGTGTTTGGGTGATCATACCGTGAAACTGTTCGCTCGCACGCCAGGACGACTCAAGATTTGATCCTAAAACAAGCCAATAGGGTGTTTATGCTAATCGTTCTCTGCAACGCTCAGAGGGTTAAATCAGGCGTGCGTACCTCAAGAGGTGTTCCACTGATAAGCAAAGTGAGGTCCTGCAAAGGAAGAAATTTACACAGATATTCACCACAAAGTTATTCCTGAATTGAATAGGAGTCACGGGGGCTCACCTTAAAACTCTTCTGGTAGTCTTTGTAGGTCAGGTAACGGGACTGCTGTTCAGTCACAATATCCTGAAGCCGATCCAGTTCTTCGAGGACAGTATCACGATTTTGCGTGGTGTCGAATAGCATTGGGTTCTACGAATTGAAGCATGATCTGTTGATAAGCATACACGGAGGAAAAGCTGTTCAACCTTTTGAAATGGTGGATGCCTGCTCTAGCCAGCCACCTCAATTGGTTCTCTACTCAAAGGTTTTGTGGATGATTTGTCAAAATTTGAGGTTAAAATTTGTTTGATTATTCATACTTATCCCGACTAGATGTTCTGTTAAAAAGTGACAACACCTCTTACCCCAACTGCCTGTTTGGCCTCCTTGACATCGTTGACGAGTTCACCAATGTCTCTGTTAAGGCAAGTGAAAAACACGTCGACAGTTTCGTCGCGTTCCGCAAGGGCCCTGTCGATCGCTGTGGTGGTTCGCTCGATTCCCGGAACCAGTGTCTACAAGGGAGACGAAAATCGCCTGGATAGTATCGAACCTGGATAAGTCTTGTGGACCATCGTCGGCAAAGCCGAAATTCAATCGCGGAAGCAACTTTGACGGTTGAACTGTGTTCCGAAAAAGCGAAGCTAACAAATTTTCGGTATTAAACGGCTTCAAAAAACATCTATGCCCCACATTTGCGTTTAGAGGCTGTCTCGGACATGAAAAATTGCATATCTGCTATTTGAAATCGCCAGCAAAGATACGTATGAATTTCAAAGATCTCTTTAAAAATCATAGTCCCAAAAGAAATCTGTACTAGTGCACTTGAAGTGAAACAGTCGCTTTCCATGACAGGCACAAAAGACATGTGCCTCGCGGCAGCAATCTTTCATCTTTCTGCTCTGCTTCCAGTCAAACACTTGGACCAGAAAGGAAGGGTTCGTGAAGTGGGATATTTAGCGGAATGGATTTTACCAACAACAAGACATTCACGTGATCGAGAGAAGAAACCGCATTTCGAAGTAGAAACCGTGTCGACACAAAGGTTTACTTAGGATTCTAGGAGGTATCACCTAAAGCTAGGCCGCGGTTCCGTCCTGTGTGTGTGTGCGTGTGTGGAAAGCGTGATGAGGTCGGCTGATGATGCGGACATAATGAGGACCAACCTGGTAAACCGCGATGTCTTCTGGAGGCGTTGGAACTTTAAAGAGGTCGATCAATTCGTACATTGAGCGAATAGCATCTGCCTCCTGTTCCAACGGCTCAATCTACAACAGATAGCAGATAAATGTGTTATCTTAAAGATTAACAAGCGATAGTGGGGCCTCCAACCGACATTACAGAGAATTTGCGTACAGAAAAGTTGTGACACACGTTAATTTGGCTTAAATGCAATGCAGACTGCCTGGCCTCTGACCATCAAGGTACTATTAAGGGCCACGTAGAACACTTGTAGAAGACACTTAAGTTTTGTATATGTCCCTTTGTCAAAGCGTTTACATTACCCCAAACTGGCATCTTCAATTTACACCGTCTAGAATCTTCAAAACTTCCGTTGTAGACGTCGTAAAGAATGCCACCAAATTGACGTTTTTCGAAGGTATTAAAAAGGCAGCTTTGATGAAGAGGCGATTTGGTCTTAAGAAGTGCACGTGTTGGGTCTTTAGATCCATGAAACTGTTCTTCAAAACGACGCAGAACTTTCCAACTTAAATCCATGTATAATAGGCATAAAGGCCTCGCTACTCACCATTGTTTGGTCAAGCTACTAATCACGTGATAAAACAATGATTACTTGCTTGCACTAGCGCCAAGCCATTCTTAGGTTAAAGTACTGACTGTTGCTCACAGAACCAGAATAAATGACAGTGGTGCAATGTTCCAAGCCTGCCAGTTGTATCAACCTTGTCTTTGTTAACAAGGCACAAGACTGAGAAGGTAGGGGCATCATGTATCGACAAACTCACACGAAGTTGGATCTGCCGCAGGAAAGTCAGGTGATTGACGTAGTCCACAGCTGTCGTCAGGGCCTGCGCCAGGGTGTATTCAGCCTCCTGGGTCTCCTTGGTGAGTCTGTCGACCTCCCCGCGAGCGATCGACGGCAGAATGGCGTAGACGCAGTCGAGACACCGCAAGGGCGAAGGCACGACGGTGTTCTTGAAGACGCTCGTATCCATGTTGAAGATGCCGACTTCGCGGTTCAAGGGGATGAGGTTTGTCATTTCAACCTGCCGGCTGAAGATTGCCAATTTTTCGCGAAAGAAATCAGTGTCTGTGGATAAAAGCAAGGACGCCTGCATGTTATGCTTCAGTGTCATGGATAAAACGTAGAACTCGGATATATGGAGGTGGGTGACAGTCGAATAGCCCATCGGTGTTGTGCATTGCCTCAGACCAAAACGGACAGCGCAAAATGGATGCATTGAAGCGATATTTAGAACATGTCTAGAATCCTACCTGCTTGAATCCTGTTTACTCCAGTTAAATCCCTTGTTCTTTCTAGAATGGAAGAAAATACGAAAATGCTTAAAAATTAAGAATTTAACAAACAAACCTAGTTGGATTGCTTCAAGACTCTGAAATTCCAACAAATCATGCGAGAATTTTGTTGCGCAGCCCCAAACCACATGAATGACTGCAGAACTAATGCATTGTAATCGGAAAACCATCTGTCGCCATCTGGAGTCAATAGACGGGGTTCAAACGATGAGAGCGTGGGTGCCGAATGATTTAAACAAAAACCGGGAAATTTTGGCGCTTCACAGATCTACTCGTGCGCTGCGGAATAGTCACGGACACAAATCAACGTTTCACGTATCGCGATGCCACTGGTAATGAGAAGTGGTGCCTTTACGGAAATTTCTGGCAAAAGACGGAGTGATTGGATGGGGACGAGCAAGCAAGGACGTGATTCTGGAGAAATTGTAGTGGACTGACAGCCACCCCGAGTGAGTGCGCGTGCATGAGGGCCCGAGTTGACCAAGACTCACCCCTTTTGTTATTGGCCTCTGTCAGCATTCGCCTGTTACGCAAGCGTACTCACACGCACACAAAGCCACTTGGCTGGTGTGACGCTAATAAGCGGTCATGTTCTCTGTCGGCTCCTTTCCCCCTTTCCTCGGGTAGTTAAGGGCAGTTAACTAGAGGGTTGTAAGGTAGTGCTAAATTCCTTAGACACTGCAGAATCTTTATCCTCGAAAGAGGATTTGAGTGTGGAGGCGACGTGAAGGCCTCATCCACTGCCAAATGTCACTTGTTTTTGTTTATATTTTGGTATTAGTACATGGCTGAAAATGGACTTATGCCCCTATCTAACAGACGACGATTCTTAGTTTTTTCCCAGTAAAATAAAAATCATCGGCTCAATCTGAATTTTAAAAGCACAAAAATGGAATCCTGCCTGACAGGTTAGTGTGCTCGCGCGACTCATACAAGCTTGTCTACTCAAAGTTCGGGAGCCAATTGGACAGGAAGTCCGACAACAGTGAACCCCCTTCCACGTAGGCGGCGACCACCATTGACCAATCAGAGAGGAATTTGCGCTGGTGGTGAGAGGGGAAGGGGGTTACGTTCGCACAAGCGACGGACACGCGGACGGAATGTCCTAGCCCGTCTGGGACGCCAGCTTTCGGCAAAAAGTCGCGTCAAAGTAGTCAGAGAACATCCCACTTGGTTTTTTCACGAAAACCGCGAAGAGCCTTACAAGCCAAAGGCACTTACCCATGCCGACTATTTTGTATGCGCTAATTAACCACCCATTGGTATTTGAAACAGAAGCTTCAAGTTACCTTCACGCTCAGCTTGAAGCGCCTCAGCCGTGACTGATTCGTTTTCCTTGAAGAACTCGTTGATTTCACTGAACGTATCGATGTAGTGTCGAACAGCGACGAACGACTTTCGAAGACTCTCCTGGATACCCGCGATGAGTGTTTGGAGTTCCACGTCTTCGTTAAAGACGTCGCGCAACTGCGGTCCTGCGCCAGTAGTTTTTTCCTCTTGCTTGTTATTTATGATCGGACGGGAAAAGGCGTCGAAATAGGGATCGTTGGCAAAATTGGACAAGGTCATCATGGTGTCCTATGGTTAAGCAAGTTAAATGGCTTTGTTAGAAGTGGAGCAGATTGAATTTGAAGAAATAACACCTTGAAAAATCGAATAGGCATTTTGCAAAGCACAGTCCAAGGATTGGGCTTTTGGATTGACATCAAAGTTGGTGAACGAACTCACTTGAGGACTTGACGTGGCTGTAGCCCCTTCGTGACCAATTTAGATGACCGAGGCTCTAATCTACAAATTGAGTCACCTCAAAGAAACATTCCGGTATGTAAACTGATGCATGGAAGCGATGAAGGACTACTTTGGAACTGGAACCACAAACTGAGTAACTTCGACCTGGACGTGATTGGAAGTGCATTGTGGAAAATAAAGTCATGTTTCACTAAATGCAGCCGGTAACAGCCAATTGGATGCAAGATAAGGTCGTTTAAAGTGGAAATGTGTGCTAAATACAAGTTTAATTCATGACCAACAGTTGAAAAAGTTGAAGAAAAAATATTTCTTTCGCTTTGGAACATTTCACATAAGATTGCCAGTCGGCGGAACTTTCAATGATGCTCCACTATGGCACGACTTTTGTGTGGAATTTGGCCCCAGATAACCCCTATCATGTATGGCTTAGCAAACCAAGCGATGCATATGCCACAGCATTGGTGGTACCTGGAAACGACTGAGAATGTTGGAGATGCCTTCGGAAAATTGGTCCTCTGAGGGAACGGCGCAGAGTTGGCTATTTTGGAGGAGCAGCTCGTTCAAAAATAGCGGGGGCTTGGCGGGGTTTTCGGAGGGTCCGGGTGCTGGCTCGGGTCCGCCCTGCTATAAAATGCACACACAAATGCCTTCCTTCAAAATCATGACGTCCGGAAAGACTACAGAGACGTGCGAATCAAACGATGGGTCTCTGTATTTGCCTGCCCTGTTCTGTTTGTAGTTCCGGGCGATGCGATTAAGTCAAAGCTATTAGTGCACAATACTTATACCATTAGTAGGTCGACTGGTTCAACGCTTCTAAAATCTGTACTAGTCTTACATATCCAAGTCGCCAAGTCACAACAGGCACGCGCCAATATCCATGATCCTTGAGAGGGCAAATTTAAAGTTCCTTCCTCAGAAAGTATCAATCCTTGAGTTCAATGTGTAAACTAACATTAAACAAAAATAATTTGTTTCTAAAAGTAGAACGAATCCACGATTCGCAAAACAAATTTGGTGGACCGAGAAAGACACAAATTTAGCGATTGCGCATTTAACTGATAACTATAGGTCTTGATATGGGGATACGATATTTTTGTTTGAAAGCCAGCTTAAAATGACAGGTAGCCAGCATGGAAGGCAGTCCAATTATCTGTTGTAGGATCAATGTAGAACCTCGAACCCACGCCTGCAAAATCGAGAGCGAACGTTGCTGCTATATTAACGCTCTTTACTTGGTAATTGACTGACACTAGGTACACCTTTATATGCACTGGACAACGACTAATTTTCAAAACTATCCTGTTTTATTGGCTCTAGACATGGGTAAGAAAGTAACTTCTGTGTGTTACAAATAATGTAAGGTTATAGAGGTATTAAAAGGTAAAAACGTGGGATGAATCATGCTGATTCATGCCCATAGATTCTGTCTCCACAACCTCCGACACATCACCCCTCATTTCACGACGTCGCCATCACCCACGCGGAACCGGCTGTTCATCCACCCCCGTGCTTGTGTCGCCCCCTGCAACTCATCCCATTCATCGGACCGCTCAGCTATTTATGCTCGTACCAGTTCCCCCACAATGTGTCGGCCAACAATTTCATTGGTCATGCACGAATTTAAATATACATACACGACAATAACACCAATAGGTTGAGACATTTAGTGTCTCCATCATCTTCGGTATTCTAAGTCTTCTTAGGTAACTGCGTAGCGTAATCGGAACAATACAGCGTGGCGACTAACACCACAAGGCAAACCAGGTCGTGGAAGTCAAAATGGCGAAAGCCAATTTTGGGCAAATTACAGTACATAACGCTTTGCGAGTGACTAGTGATTTCGCAACCACTTGGCGAGTTGTAACTATTCACTTAAATGTGGTAGTGTTGCCTCGATTGTGTTCCATAGGAGGACTACAGTCGATCTACACGCCATTCAACTGATGCTAAATCCATCTTCGAGCTCCGTACAACACGTCGATAGGGAACCTATGCGCCTTTTAACAAATTATTTTTAACAACATCACTAGCTGGGATGTTTAAACGATGTGCCGTGAAACTTTTCTGTTCAGTTCGGGTCTGTCGCTCTTCGATTCTCAAATAAAATAGAAAAATGCTTTCGGTGAATATACAACACCTTATCCAGCTGATTCTGACTTTCTGATGTTCCATAAGTAATAAAGGTGGGATCTCGAATGTTAAAGTGGTTGAATTTGACTCAAATTTTCTAGCTGCTATCAAATACTAAATATTAGTTTACTGCAGCATCTGGAACATCATGGGTGGGTCATTTAGATGTGGCAACTCAAAGCTCCATCATTTCAAACGATTACCGCACTGTGGCCCTTCGGAATAATTAGAATGGGCACTGACCGCATCGGAGTCATTTTGATTATTCTCCTGCGGCTTCTCCGTTTCTGTCGCCGTCGCCGCCGCCTCCTCCCCTCCCTCAGTTTTCGCTTCCGGCTGCTTGACGGTGGCGTCGAAGTTGTCTTCGGACTCGCTGTCGTCTTCGGGATGGAGGACCAGCTTCACGTCGATGCGGAAGGCCGCGATTTGCTCGGCGCTGGGGATCGACGCCGACTCCTCCTCTAGGACCCGACTGAAGAGGAATGTGGAATTCTTGGCCAGCGTGTGCATCGTATTCAGGATGAGGTAGTCCACCAGTAGAACGAAGCTTCAAGAAGAAAAAACCCAGTTGATTGGCCTTCAGACACACCCCCACACAATGTAATTTGCATCATGGGGCGAGGTTAAAGAACTGTCCAAGCCTTGTAGCCAGCTGAAAACCGACAGGCTAAATTTATCCACAGAAAGTCTCTATCTCAGTCAAGGCCAACTCGGCACACTTCAATACATTCTAAAAGCAGATAGTTCAGGATGTAGCATTGCGTACCAGGTAAGTCGTTTGCACTTTTTGCGTTTTCTCGCCTGTTCTGTGAAGGACATCTTCCCGACAGAGGTGGAGAACCAATCAGTGTCTCCACATTGGAGAAAGTAGGAATTCTTTCCACCTGGAGCCTCTATATTTGCAAATGTAGAGACAAAGTAAATCATGCATCTCAAGTCATGGAACTAACGAAAACGGTGCTGCAATATAAAACGAACAACCAGAACAACGATTTCACAAAGTCAAAACGAGAGCGAGATTCGGGAACTGTCAACAGAACAGTTCAAAAATCTTTCAATTGACGGTGTAGGTAACGAAAACATCTTGACCGAACCATCCACGCGCATCAGAGTGGCAAAAACGAAACAGAAACAACGGTGTAACCACGAAAATTACGCAATTTAATCTTTTGACAGCGGCGTTCCAGTTTGTAGCGATTGTTGCGCATCTGTTTGAGCGCCGTGGCGATGGGCTTCATCGCGGAGCCCACAAGAGGGTGGTCGGCGTCGTAGGGAATGGGCTCCAGCTGCAGACGCTTGGAGGTCAGTTTGCAGGCGTCAATCAACTCGTCCACATCATACATATTCCGACCTACACGCAGCATTTCAGGGAGCCGTTAATGACTTCAACAGGTAACAGATTGCCTGCATACATTTTAGATAAGGCGAGAAACAACCACAAATTTGGAAACTAGTTCCAAACATAAAGTGGTCTTCAGGCAAACCTCATGAAATTTACCTAGATTTTTAGGCAAGTCTGACTCATCGTAGAAATAGTCGTCGGGCATAAACCCGTACTCCAAGAGAGCCGTTCTACACGCATTACGAACGATCTCTTTAGTCACATCATGGAACTCCTGCAGTCTGAGATTGACCTCGGAGAGTTGAAGCATTTGATTCCCGAGAAATTCCAAGAGTGTTGCTGTCTTACTCCTGTCAACACGACACAAAGTCATTCCGGCGATGCTGTAGCACATTTCCCGAAGATTGAGAAGAGCAGGCCGCAATGTCGGATTAGCGATGAAGAGGTTATCCTCAAGAAACTTTTGACAGCGTGCGATTTGGGCGTAGCGGATCACTTTGCGCCAACGAAGAAAAACTTTCCAAAGGCGGAATTGTGCAAAGAGAGGCAGCTGGGTGGAAGACAAAGGTCAGTTTTGAAAAGATATTTAGCACAAAAAAGCGAGTCTGACCGCGATTTCGTCCACAATTAACAAACTGCTACAAATCTTGGTCAAAAGACTGAATGCCCTTTAAAATAGACAACAAATAGCTTAATAAGGCCGTCAAGATGCAAGGTATTAATAAAAATGACGACTTATATGTGGCCTTAACAGTATCTCACATATCTGTTGCACTTGCAATATTCGTAAAATCACGATACTATTCGACTTGGACCTTCAAAATAATCGATCGACAAAAAACAGGATGGTTTTAACATTGCCCACAGTCGAAACAAATTCCAATGCTTATACGATCTGAGGAGATCTTACAGAGCAGAGGTACTGGTTGATCGGGTGCATATTTGAGATTGTTAAATGTTGTCATTTTCCATAAAGACCCTCAACTAAATCATTTGACAAAATCGATCAGAAGAATAAAGTTATGGTCATATATTTAAGCAATACCAAATAGCTTACTTATATATTAGCAAAAAGACTAACCTTGCGCATACCCACGAAGAGCTTATATTCACGTTCAAACTTTGCAAGGGATATGAGTTCAACTTCATCCCTAACAAAATGCGTGCAACCACAGAGGCTGACTGTATAGTAATCTCGCTTGTTTATATTATGGTATGACGTAACTCTAATAAAAAATGACAAATTTAGTGTAAATTCTTACTTAAGATTGTAGTAGTGATAATCAATATGCTTCTTTGGAAGATTGTGTGTGAGATAGAAAAAAGGAATATCTGGCCGACTTCTCAGTACATTAATAACCTTAAGGATATCCGTTTCCCCATCGTAAGAGGCTATCTCTGTAAAAAAGGGGTGTTGAAACAAATGAGATAGTCATTAGAATAACAACACTTAAAGACAGTAAGTAACGTAAAATTCCGAAAACTAATTTGGCACAACTGCAGTCAGAAATGAAAAATAGAAACATACCATCTCTCAAGGTTGACGCCGCGCAAACGCCTGAAATTAGGAATCCAAATAAAAAATACCCTTTCTTTATAAATACACCCAGCAATATCATTGGTAACTCACCAAACGTGTACAAGTTAGGCGCATCCTTCGTTATTTTGAAACCAGGGGCATTTCCCATAAGAACTGAGGGTTCGTCCTTAAAAATATATTTCAAAACAAGGTATACCTGCTTTAATTTGAGAATTTGTGGAAGCAAGGATGCATGACTAGGCGGTTCAAAGGTTTGGGTATAAGGGTCATCAAGTTCCTTTCTCGGTCGCTTTGGTTCCGCTATGTCTTTCCCTAATTTAGCCCTCCATTTTATCGCTTCTCTCTTTTGAATACTTTCAATACTGTTATACTCACGATAGTCCCTGAGATTTGTCTACAGGGCTATTAGAACAAGAAATGATGACAAATACCAAAGGCTCAACAAACGTTTTGGCAAGATTAGACAAATAGACCTGTCTTCTGGTTGGTGGTTTAAAGCATAACCGTGTATCGTTTTTTTTGCTACCATCTAAGCGAATGTTTACGTCACGTGACACCATCTTAAATTTTATTTGTTTTCACGTAAACATCACTCGTTGAACTTTCAATGTTACAGAAGTTATAGTTTCAGTCAAAAATAGTAAGCTTAAACAAATGACCTACAAGTTGCAAAATATGAATGTTTTTATTCTTGCTATTTAAATTCAAGATTATTACTGCCACAGAAGCAAAATGTTGTTCAGTAAAATATATTTAAGCTTTCCAAACTTCACTTGGATAAGTTAAAAATTTAAAACCGATTTCTATTTTTCCATCGGTCAATATTACAATTATTTAGAAATTACAGTTTGCAGCATTTCATTTTAAAGTTTTTCTAGCTAATACTCAAAAATAAAAAGGAAAATATTGACTTCTGAATTGAAATTGCTCCACGAACTTGTCAAATTATGATTTACTGAAAATTGAAAGAAGAGTTCATCGTTCTTAATTTTATAATCTGAAAAGCAATCCGATTCGGCTTTACACAGTGAGGAACCTTTTGCAATAATCAAAATAGCAAGCGACATGCAGATTGTCCCTAACACCTGCAAGGTCACCACATTAAATTAAACGCTTTGCATCATTGGTTGTTTATGCGGTGGCTGTCCCGTTAAACATAAAGCAAAGAGTATAACATTCACGCGGCTTCAGGCTTTGCATTTATCTTAGGAATTTTTAAGAGAATTAACGTGATTTTGATGAATAAAATAGCCTTTTTTATTATTTGGCCTTTTGCTGAAAATGAACCCTTGTCAATACACAATGTCAAAACGGCCATATCTGTTGGAAATTTAATTTCTTGCAAATTATGTTAGCTATTCGGTAAAATCGCCTTCCTTAGGCTGCCGCTTCACCATATTGAGGTGGAAAAGGTGACATGGATGTCAAAATTTCGCCATGTTTTAATTTTCTGACGTGTTAATCTTAATTTTTTTGGAAAAATATGCCTGTTTTTAAGCGAATGAACAATGACTTCTCTTCTAATTTTTAGTATAATAGCCAAGCATATTTTAGGTAGTCGCAAAACGAACTTAGCACTTGAACTAAAGTATCAAAGTAAAACACAAGAAATGAAATTATTGATGTTTACTAATTTAGCACGATTCCCTCACATTGAATGTTAGTGACCGCATTGAACTCAAGCCACTTAATGAGTTTTCGTCTCTACATTGGACAACGTTATGCCTAGATGCCTTTATGGCCACCTGAATCTTCAAGCCTGCACTAGTAAAATACATTAGTTTCAGGTGAAGAATAACACCTACTTTGGCCTTAATGAATCTTCATCACTCACAGCCCTTAAGAGAAATTCAAATCCCCTTAAAATGATTAATTGAATTCATTGCGCACTAGTTTATTTCAATACAGAAACCCATGAACAAAAATGTACACGGATGTCTGCCTCATCAATTACTAGATCCAAGGTCCTTCACACTAATGCTGATGATGCTGATGTCATCTAGAGGTTTGTCCGTTTTGGGATTCGTTTTTACATTCGATATTTTCTGCACGACCTCCATCCCCTTGATCACTCTACCGAAGACGGTGTGTTTATTGTCCAACCAGGGCTAAAATTCACAATCATAAGGAAAAATAAATAAAAAAAGTGCTTGGGTGCAACGAATGTTAGTTCAAATAATGGAACAAAAAACGTGTTGAAAGCTGCAGATAGAGATGATATATTTTTAAAACTTCCTACACCTAAAAACTTTCTCGAACATTAACAACACACATTTCAAGATGATCCGTTTGAAGAAAACCTGTAGCGGTTCGGTTAGTCCTAGCGTACAATCCTGCTAGTCGGCAGTCCGTAGCAGCCCGAGAAGAAATGCAGGACCGATGATAGCGAATATAACGCTTTTTATTTACATTTGACCACCCAAGTCTTTTATGACCCAGCGCGTGAGTGAATGCCTAACGCCAACTGTAATCGACAATCGACGACATTCGATCAAGTGGTGAATAAGCTTCACGCACGCTCGTTTGGTAAAAGTTCACTACACACCTACCGTAGGAGCCACGGTGATGAAGAATTGGGATCCATTGGTGTTTGGTCCCGCATTGGCCATACTTACGGTGTAGGGACGATCGTGTCGGAGGCTGGGATGGAACTCATCCTCGAATTCCCCGCCCCAAATCGATTTGCCACCCGTGCCCGTGCCTGAAATTGCACAAATGCTGCGACGTCAAAAGCAACCACAGAAACTGCCGAAAGCGCAAATCTGCAGACAAAAATGGAGCGTCAGCCTACCGAGGGGACAACCGGTCTGAATCATAAAGCCCTTGATAACACGATGAAAGATGTGGCCGTTGTAGTAGCCGGCGCGCGAGTGTCCAACGAAGTTTTCAACCGTGCGCGGGCACTCGCGTGGCCAGAGGCGCAGGTGGATGTCGCCAAGGGTGGTGTGGAGGATGGCGGAGCCGGCCAACCGAAGGGACGCCGTGGCCGACGCCGCGGAATCTCGCGATGCCGCAAGCACCTCCTCCTTGGTCGGTTTCTCATTGAAGACGTCGCGTTCGCTGGTAGAACCCGCGGACAACGAATCACCACTGAAGTAGCAACAATAAAGTGGCTCAGACCTGTTCCATTCCTTTTCCGACGAAATGCCGATACGACCCCAGAAAAAAATCATTTACAGTAGAGTGGACTAAAAACTAACTCAGACTTGATTTCATGCGGTTCGCGGTTGGTGAAGAGGTAGACGCGGTTCTTCTTGAAGGCCGTGCAAACGATGACGGGGTCGCGGTTGGGGACGGTGGAGGAGTTGCCGGCGCCGCCGACGGAGCTGTCCGCGGTGCCCTCGATGGCGTGCATCTCCAGCGAGGCGGTCGCCGAGTCCATGCCGAGGAGGGCCATCGACGTGGAGCTCTGGAGGATGGCGGAACGCGGGGGCAGCAGTGCCACCTGCAGCAGGCGCAGGTTCTCTGGACCGCCTAACGAACGAACCAGCCGATTGGTGACCAAATTCACCACCCTAATGCCCAGCATGGTGGTGTAGATGAGGAAATTGCCAGATCTATCGAATTCTACAAAAGACGCGAGAAGGACCTGAAAGAACTGTCACAGAAGGCAAGCAGACCTAGTTTAGATCAGGGAACAAGTGTACCCTACCCAAATTGCACATGTGGGTCCCATCGGATCGATCCAACTCCTTTTCCAAGGCCAGACGTCGACCGAATTCCATGCTCGGCAGCAGCTGCTTTGTGGACTGCAGTTCGGAGTAATGCTGGAGGCTTTCATCGTAGACCAGCGACAACTTGCCTGTCAGTGTTTTGAAGATCCGAATCTAGGCAATGGAATAAAGCATCCCCTGATCATCAGGATTCGGCATGTTATAAAATGCGTCGCCTGGCTTGCGTCAGTCTGCAGACGGAAGCGGTGCTCGAGCAGCCTACCTTCCTGTCGGCACCGAAGCAGGCCAGAAGGTGGCCGTCGTTGGGCGAGAAGGCCAAGCTGACGGCGTGCGTCTTCGCCCCCAGAAGGCAGTAGAGATCGGTGTCCATTTTCGAGGTCCACTTGAGAGCCGGCGGGTGGGTGGAGGCGTAGTCGTGGCGAGGCGTCGACCAGAACTCCAGCATGCCCTCAGTGTCTGCGCTCACCACCGTCTCGAGAGCAGGCGAAAACTACGGCAAACAAATAGTCAGGCTAGACGGTCGCCTCGTGGAAAGGTAAAAAAAGTGACCCTCGAGTCCGTGCAGCCTCGCTTGTAGTTTCACAGGCCGACAACATCAGGATCCAGTCGACGCCGCGTTTGGAAGTGCTTACTTAATGATGGCATCGAGATCAGCCGTCTTAAACGGTGAATCTTACCAAACAAACCACTAGGGCTTGTTTCCTAAGCGCAGACATCAATTCCTCACACCCTCGTAGCCTTCAGTTTCTTGGGTGAAGTGAGGTTGACACCTCGTTTGTAGGAGAAGAGGGGTACATCTCTCCTGGCGCAGTCCCGCTAAGCCCACAGGTGGCTTAGAAGTCACGCCTATTGGCACGATGCGAAACGCACCAATTCAGTACAAATGCTCGCACAAGCTAATGTCGTGGATATCTCAAATAATCACAACACAGATCCCCATTTGTTGGGGATCCACGATTCCCCAAGATTGGTTTCTGATTTTATTTACATTTATTTATTAACATTTGTTTAGTTACGCTTTTATCAAGTCAAGGTTGACCTTGACTTGAATTAGTTTTCAAATTACTTTCGATTTCACTTCTTCTCTGCACGTGGCTGGCGTGTATAATGCTCTCTACTCGAGCTCTGGTCTTGTTCTGGTACTAGCCTGGGAAGGTCGGTTCTAGGTTTCAGCAAGGGATCTGGCACCGTTATTTGAGTGGTATTCTCTATTGTTACGGGCAAACGTAACACCATTAGAGTCACCAACGCGGTGGCTAGTGCTGGTGACGGCATGTCGACCAGAAAGGGGACGACGACGTCAGCAAACGGAGACTGACAAGGTGGGAGTGGGTGAACTTACGGCGATGGCGATGACAGGACTGGAGTGCAGCTTGTCCAAGGTCCTGAGGAGCGTGTCCTTGGTGCGTGCGTCGAAGATGTGGATGGCGCTGCTGTCGCGGTCGGTGCTGGAATGCAAACAATGATGCAACTGAAGTGAGCTGGCGAACGGAGGGCATTACTAGGAGGCGGCGTTGGACGACGCCCGTTTCCCCTATCCAAGTCATAAACTCACACATTTTGGCGACTAAAATCTAGTACCTTCGCTCCGAAATGTAACACAAGGAGGCTAAACAAGACGTGCAAACCAAGCAACATTGAGGCCACGTGAACGACAAACACGCAAATGGGTAGGGCTAACACTAGTGGCTTACATGGCAATGGCCGCGTAGCCGTCCTTTGCGGTGTAGACGAAGCAGCATTCACGAGGAACGAAGCCGAGTTTCATCATGCTGATCATATCTAAAGGAGAAGGTTGCAACGTCGGTTAATGCGTGGATCGCGGACACCTCGGCAAGACACCCGAGAAACGACCACGCCGAACACTCACCGAAGTTGATGATGTCGAAGATTTTGGCCGTCTTGTCGTCACCGACAGTGCACGCCAGTTCTCCGTCGTAGCTCAGCGCGAGGCCGTTTATCACACCTGCAGCGGGCCAACGAACGCACTGCGATTAAAGACGCTACACACACACGAAGAAGTCAGACAGCCACACTGACGGGCACTCACCCAGATGCGCACGGTAGTGCTTCACAAATTCCAGGCCACGAGTCGCAGCCAGATGCCAGAACTTCAGGTGGCCGTCACAGCTGCACGTTATCAGGTAGTGCGTCCTGGAAGGAAGGAGAGAGGAGCACGACTAGAGCGGCTGGTGGGACAGTCGGGGTTGAAGGGGTCCCCCTTCTGCATGGTAACTAGTTGTCAGCGGTCTGTTTTAAGCATGATGCTACTACTGCGTATAGGCACCACGAAAAAGGGAACCACTTACGACCCGAAAAACCGCTGGATTGTTGGCTGCCACAACGATGCACCGGCTTGGGGCCTCTTGGCTTAGGAAACTCGTAAAATTACCAAGCAATTCAGTAGAGTAAGGCAGCAAGAACGGGTCCAACTGCCATCTTTTCAACCATCCAAACACGCCAATTCCAAGTGGGGTGCAACAGAAGCGATGAGCGCCAATGGTGCAACAGAGTGCCACTTCCAGTTAGCTGAACAACAACAAGACACTATCAAGCCCGTGGCCACACGACCCGTGAACTCGCCAACTCTCAAACGCAGCCTGGGAAATCGAAAAGAGACAAGACGCACGGAGAAGAAGGGAGGATTTGCGGTCTGCGACACAAATTGCATCACTTACTTGGAGTAGGCGAGGTGGGTGATGACGTTTCGGTGCATGTAGCTGATTTCGTAGTATTGTGCGGTCGGAATGCTCCTTAGCAGGATACTCTCATCCTTCAGAACTACGGCAGAGAAGACAAACACCCGCACAGTAAATCGAAGCCAATGAGGAAAAGACGGGCGGCAGACGAAGCGAAAACAACTGTCTGCAGGCTACTGAACTCCCCCCCTCCCACCCCAATCATGATGCGCCACGAAAGCTATGGCTCCCGTGTCCTGGTGGTGGACCATTTCGTTACCACATCGCAGCCGATGCGCATAGCGGTTAGAACGCTTGAACACCGGGCCGAATGTCCACTCCTTCGCAAATTGTCCACGTAACATTGCGTGTGAGTTTAGCAGTAATTAAGAGGGAGGCGTTCGTGAATGAGGAGACTTTACGGAACATTCCAAACATCTTGCAGAATCCAAAGACTTTGCCCAAGGTGATGCAACATTGGGGAATTAGCCTATTAGCATAAACTCGTCAATTACAATGCGTGTTTGCTATTCGTAGGCCTACAATCGTTTAGGGAGTTCGTGGATGCAAAAGTGAAGTGAGGAGGAGGAAAAGCTGCCTAGCCAGGTGAGTAGACAGACGACGCCAGTTCACCTACCTCGCTTCTTCGGCTTCTTCTTTGGGGGTTCCATTGAAGACGGCGCCTCCATCTCGCTGGGCAGAGGGCCGACGGTGTCGCCGTCATCGTCGACATCAAGATCAGTCGAATTGCGCCGTCGTCCCCGCTTCAGGTCGCCTGCAGCACTTCCTGGCGTCGAACTGACGATGTCTTCACCGCCACCTGCGGTCATCTCGGAGGGCAGGGGACCTACCGTGTCGTCGTCACCTCTGGAGCTGCCGTCAGTTTCAGTGGGGAAGGAGCCGGTCGTGGGGTCCGATTCCGTCATCTACACGAGACAAAATTAAAACGCCCGTGAACAAGCCAAGTACAAAGCCAAGGGCCAGCAGATGTAGCTCGACGGAGCGAACAAGCCATGTCTGCGTCTAGATGATTCCCAACTCGCATTACTCCGATTACGAGAAACATGAGATGGTAATTAAGACTAGCTTCACTGCCAAATTTAGCGCAAGTTCACATAAAATTTGCAAGAAAAACAAAATCACAGTGCAAATTTCAGCTGATGGTAACACAAAGGATTAACACTAGACGAATCCGTTCAAGAGGAAACAAGCAACACTACTGTAAAACTAGTAAGTAGCATCATTTTCCTAAATATTGCGGTAGTGCAAGACAGGTTCCCAGTGGGAAATATTCACCAAAAAAGAAGGCATAGCTTTTACGACTATCGAAAAAAAAACAGTAGGATCAATCAGATAACGAATATATTTAAACATCGTTGCCACGTAACAGGCAGTACAAACAAACAAGGCAGGAAGAAAGACAAAGCAAACGCGTTGTGAAGGCGCTAGAAAAGCCTCAGCCCTTGACGCGCATGGGGCTGAGGGGAAGGAAGGACAGCGTGCGCGTGATGAGCGGGCAGACCACGACGTAGGCGGTCAGGAGGAGGAACTGGCAAGCGGTTGAGAACCAGGCTGGTTGCAACTCTGCAATCACCAGGGTGTCAATGAACATGTTCAACAGCCCCGTCACCACATTTGAGATGAGAAAGTAGGCAAACGAATTGTCGGACACGATGGTGACCAGGGAAAACAGGTCTAAAAATTAAAATAGAACAATGTTACTAAAGTACACCAGTACTCGTTTTAAAGACATTGGGATCAACCAAACGCATCGTATCTTGCCCTCCGCAACAAAATCAACTTGCCTTAACAAACCATTGGACAAAGATTACGTCAAACCCACCTTTTTTATTTGTTACTTTGTATTCTCCAGGTTGATTGTGAAAAACCCAGAGAAGGGTAACACCCATTACAAACGTCATAAGCCCAATCTACAAATATAAAGTAAATGTTACTTAAATTACACAGTAGTATTTCTCTACGACTTGTCGTTTGACCATTTGCCAGCGACTCCATTAAGTTGAGCGCTTAGAAACTCCGGCACCAAGTGAGATTCCGGGTGAACAACACCAGTGAATGCTTACAACATGTGCAGGCTTGGCAAATCTTACAACTTTGGACTCAAATCACACCAAACAATTCAAAGAATTGGCGTTTTTAGTGGACGTGTGCCACGCAATACGTGGTCGCATGATTGAGCAACCTCAGACGTCACTTCTCACACAAACTCCAATTACTTTCCACGAGTCCCCGAACCTGTGCGAGGCCTTGCATCGTCTTGGTGGGGCACAGTACCTGTGTAAACTGCCAATTCAACTAAATCTTGTCTGTTTGATTCATTATCCACCTTCATTCACTCAAACATTCCCAACACACTAGCGACGCCACAAAGTCGGTCGCATGATCCCCTCCTTAATGCCATTCAACATTCGATGTGGCACTCACCACTGGTTCATCACTAACGATCCCCATTCTCGTTAGTGATCAATACTGGACTTGAACACCAAGTTTGCAATTATCGACGTTGGTTCGGTTGAAATCGGCGGACGACTGCTTTGCGCATCGCAAAAATTGAGTCATTGTCTTTCAAGGCTTTACGAGTTCATGAAACTTCACACGTGATTCCTGACTGCTGTGTTCAATGCAATCAGCTCTCTACAACCGCGTGCTTAGTTGCGTGACCCGATTCGATTGGATTGTGACTCAGTCCTGGGCGCCAGCAATTTCAGTAGATCGGCCAGAATGAAGTTGGCCAACAGCGAATTAAAAAGACTCCAACAAGAGACGTGCGTTCGGTTGGGCATACAACAGTGCCCACTGCACACGCATCTTTGTTTGAAATGTGATAATCAAGCTTGCTGTCTTTTTGTCTAAGCATAATTGTTTTCGTTGTCAAGTTGGTTTTGTTTTCTTTTGTCAAAGGCGATTTTAAAACAAGTGAGTCCTGTAAAACTAATGGCTATCGAGAACCAAACCAACCAATCGTCGAGATCGGTTTTGAATTCGAAGCACCGATTGGTCGATTGCTCAGCAAGGGACCGAGCATTGTGGGTCATGCATGATTTCTACCTTTGCTTCAATGGATACTTCTGAAGCGTCGGTATTCTATTTCAAGTGCAGTCAGTAATTTTGCGAACCTAACGAACAAATCCTACAAGCGAAAACGGGAAAAACCGGCAATGCTTTCTTGCCGAGCCATTATGAGACAACATGGTTTACATAGAGATCGACCCACAAAAAACAGTCTAACTGGCTAGGCAGACTGACGGAAGTATAATGAACCATGGATTCGTCTTAAGGAGAGCTAATTTTTCACGTGAAGTGCAATTTTTTTGGATAAGACGCACCTGCAGGGCAATGTAGGGTAGATTGACTAAACGCCTGGAGACGCTCCCAGCACCGTAGAGCGCCACAACGAGGAAGGCCAACGCGCTAATCCCGAGGACCGCAGTCGCCACCTTGCGCGTCTCACCGATCCTGCAAGAACATTGAAAGGTCGAGGCGTGGATTTGCACGACCACACACGAGTGCAAAATCTTAAAGCGACAATTTGGAAAGTTTGGCAGAAGGCCACTGACACCGCAGCACAGGATGTCCTGGGCTCAAGCAATGACAGCACACAGCACTGATTGACGTGCTCTGCATTGCAGTTCCTTTTTTTTTCGAAAAAATCCAGGCATGTGAAAGGTGAAAAAAGGCTCGCAAAAAGCATGCGGGAACCAGGGACGCAAATACTTGGTGCAACAGGTTTCGCAACACGTTTAGAAATGTGGAAAGAGGAAAGTGTGCATTCCCAACATTGCCAGCAAATTGAGCGTCTTGGGATGAGTAAGTAGCACGGCAATGACTTAATGACAGAATGGCTGACACCTGACCACAGATGCTTTCTACACTCGGGTTCTTCAAAAGGTTACCTCTAGTGTAAGTAACAGTGGACAGTGCAAATGGGGACAGCTGTTTCGACGTTCGTGAGATCCCATGAGGACGCAGTGCTGCATGCCCACGTAGCTGAAAACAGTCCGATTGGAATGTCACGCGTTTCATCAGCTGGCCACCACTCCCACCCCGGAACGCCAAATAGTGAGCAAGCACTCAATCTGCTGGAAGTCGTTTTGTTCTCCCACACGAAACAATGAGAGCAACGCCCCATCGCCTTACCACGTCCGCTTTCCCTGCACACAGACAAATTTGACCTTGCTGCCCCGGTTGTTGGGGTCCGTGTGAATATGCACAAAGTAGCTCAACACCGTGCCGAAGAGGAAGAGGCTGAGGTAGCCGAGGAGAGAGAGCAGGCCCTCCGCGTTTGCAAGGACCAACGAGGACTCGCGGTCGGCGGGAGAGATTTCATTGGTTATGCGCGAAGCCCAGCCCAGTCCCACGAGAAGGCCGAAGTGGTGAAGACAGACAGCGAGCAGGGCGAGCACAAGCGTGTTGTTCATCGCATCGAAGTCCGACTGCCCGCTGACCACGTAGCCACAAAGAAAGCCTCCGAGCTATAAAGGAAACGGGAGAGCCATTACACGACCGACTTGAAAGGCTTCTCCACACACACACACACACCACTGTGGGTTAATGCTCCGCGCTTACTGACCAATCGAAATACATGAGAAACAAATAAACTGGCCGTTTGTCTTCCAGGCAGCCTCTAAAATTTCACGTGGCGCGAATTGCCCAACCTCAACATAACTACTCGAACTTGTCATGGTTTAGAGAGGCACAATATGCTGGCCTACCTGCTTCCACAAAAAACTACGCGCTTTCAAGCAAGCTTAATCAACAGGTACCTCTTGGAACATCGTACTGCTGCAATAATGGAATGCTTGTGGTTAATTTTTGACTAATTCCAGGTACTTAACACTTAGAATGAAGTTAATTGTTCAGACCATGGAAAATGATCATTGGCAATAATTTACACAGCTCTCAGCATGATTAAATGGCATTCAGTAATCAACGTAGGCCTGTGGCATAAGTTTATGCGACACATATTGGTTTTTTGAAAGGCGAAATACTACTTAAAAACCCACCCGAACTAAAGCCAGTGTGATAAAGAAGTTCCAGTGAATCCCGTACTCAGACACATGCTCAGGATACCCCAGGGTCTTCACAGTTAATGTTCTAATGGCGCCCAACAGGAGGGAAGGTATGGTTGATTTGACGATGACCTTGAGCAGACTGCTTTGTCGATTCCTGCAATCGTTGATAAAGGCCACATTAGACATCCCTGTAGCGATGGCAATAAGGCCCACACCCGTGTCCATAAGCGAAATGCCAAATGTCTCGGTTTTGGCGAAACGGCGCGGGAAGATGGGGAAGTCGACGGCGTAGATGCAGACGCAAGTGTAGAAGAGGACGACAGCGCGAAGTAGACGACGCCACACCGAGAACGCGTTGTGGAAGGTAGGGCAGTGGCGCAGGGAAGGCAGCTTGAGGTAGACCAGACAAGCTGTGGAACAGGTCAAAATAACTAGTTCGAGGGTGTAGTCGGCGAGGAGAGTGCAGGGAAGCGCGAAGGCCACAACAGTGCAAAGAAGATCAAGAGCGATTGATCTACGAGGACACAAAGATAAACAATTGGTAAAACATAAAAATACACGCATGAAATGTTAAACGATATTATAAAAATATCAGACTTTTCTGTTGCTTGAAGCAATGTCACGCCTATTAAAACCGGAGTTCACACTACGCCTTACGCAATATGGCAATGACATAAAGATGGATGGAAAAGACTGTTTCATTCATTATTTATCATTTAACATTAAATATCAAACAAATGAATTAACCTAGACGACAGTGTTCATGTCCTTAAAGAACATAAAAGTGGTAAAAGTGCACAATAACATAACTAGCAACTCCACATTCATATGTCGTTACATTTTATTGAACATTTAAAAAACACTGAGGACCATGGCAGACAGCTGGAAAAAATAAAACCAAAACATTGCCGAAGGAGTGAAAAGGTTAGGATTCGAAACAAACCATAACTCATCGTAATTAGACGTTAGATGTGGCAAACAACCTGATTCAGTTCGAAAGTCATTAGCTAAGACGAAGTCAACAATTGTGACCTAACAAAAGAGAAAATTAAGAAAGAACCATCTTGAAGAAAGTGGCGCTTTATCAAGTCAATTATAAGGGAACCCACCGTAGTCACACTAAAGAATTTGCAATTTTACCTTCGACCAAATCAATATTTTTAGGATTACTTGGTTTAGATGGTAACACATTATAAAACCAAGCAGGAAGGTCCGATTAAAAATAATTGCAATAAAATTTTTCAGGTATTATTTCTGATATGTACAATAAGATTAATTAATTCTGCATAAAATTAAACGTGAATGCTTCCAAAATTCTACAAAGTGCAGAGGGGTGCTACCAGGAATTAGCATACTCACACGGTTTCAGAAGTCCCGTGAAAAAATAATCGCACATAACCAATGGCGAGAGCAGCCGAGAACAATCCCAAGATTTCGATCGCAGATCCTCCGGTGTGACCGCTAACGAATTGTCGGTGTTTTTCGGCCCTAACGGCATCCATGATGACGATTAATTTAACTAGGAAACAGATAACGCCGCAATGTTAGACACATTCAATATTCAACGTTTAAAATCAAAGTACATAATAAAGTGTTGAAAGTGGAGAGGACCTATCGATGTGCCCTATATTTCACAGTCAATTTAAAAAGGCATCAGGAGTCAAAGTTACATGGCCTCACAGTTGATATTATGAACACAATATGTTATTTTAAGTACCTAGGTCTTGAGCACCATCAACAGTAGCAGAATTAAAAATAAATAGATCTAGGTGGAAAAAAAAACTTACTTACATGGAAATACCAAAACACAAACAAGTTAACGAGTAAATAAATACATTCCTTAAAGATAATAAGTACCGGCGACCTAAAACCGCAAGAGAATAGAAAGCTTGCAGAATTTTAAAAATCTGCATTCTAGTTACATAAATTAAAACTGTTAAAGCGGGTCAATTTGGAATTTTTTAAAATCAGATGCAAAATACTTTTTATAATTTAAATATTCAATTAAAAAGCCTAAACGTTTTTTCTGATTTGTTTAGGCACACGCTTTACCTTAGTAAAAACGATCAGAAAATGTATGACAGGGTATATCAGGCCCACAATCCTACTGAACATACCTAGGTAAGCCTGCGGTCATTCTGTTACAGCAAATCATTAACACAATTGTATTAACATAGTGTTTTGGTAATTAATTTTCAGTTTCGCGATGCTCCTGGGATAATTGAAAGCCTCTCAACCAGGGAACGCATATTTTTAATTCTGAAGATGTTATTCTGAAAATAAAATTGACGCTTCAAAAAAAGTTGAATTACACATACTGCTACATTTTGGTTGCCATTATATCTAGAACATCACAAGCCACAAAGTCATTACCATAGACAGGTCAATGACGATTCACTATTCCCTGTTCTGAACAATGATTTCCAGTTTTAGGTTAAAAACTTCGGAAGAGTCAATGTTTCAGGTGAACGTCAGGGTTTCTAACCACAGATTTTCCAACATAGCGCCTATAGTTTTTACATATACTGCAAATAATAGCTATAAACCAAATTTAAACCTATCGATTAATGGTAGAAAAGGGTTTTGAATCTGAAAAAATACAACGTATATTAGCTACCATTTATAAAATTTAGCCATCATGCCTTCAACAGGTCCATTGAGCACGATAACTAGCTCAATATCGTAAATTGAAGGTAAGGAATCTTCAAAAAATTAAGACGATAAGTTTAAGCCATCATAATGTATGACGATAGAGTCCTAAAAAACTTGTGTACTAATGCTTCTAGAAAAAAGAAAACAAATTTTTTCCTTTTAAATTATAAGCTATATTCTTTGACTTTTGACTCATGAAAGTGAAATTAACATAGATTTATAAATGCATCTATATTGGGAATAGACACCATTTCAACTAATAATTACAAAAAAGTGTTTTTTCAACTAGTGTAATTAAAAAATAGCGTTAAAAAATTTAATGTTAAAAAAATTATGAATTCGTGATATTGCAGTTTATAAAAATATTTTAAATTATTAACAAACATTTTGAAAGCACAATCAAACTAGCTAGTAAATAAACACATTTAGATGCAATTATCAGCATATTGTTGAATTCAAATATTTGCATACTACTAATTTGTTTTAATGCTTTGAAAAGCATCTCCACTTCGTGTTTTCTTTTCAAGGCGCAAAAAGTAAATGCGAAAGCAAATTGCATTATTTTGGCTAATTGGCAACATTGCACAAAATGCTTGCATACCATTGGATAACAGACAAATAGATTTAATCTACTTTCCACAAAATGTAGCAAGTGGAATTTAGTAAACCTCCGCAATTTATAAAGCACTTCCAAGAAAAAAATTTTGACGTAAATTTTTTTAGTTTTGATAAGCATACATGCTATACTCAAGTTTTCGATAATCAACTCAGGCATGTTAATGCTACCATGATATGAAAACGAGAGTCATATGCCTGCGTTTTGCTTCTCAAGAACTTGCCTGAAATTTTTATGTGCGCAATATTTTGATATTTTTTTGTTTCAATAGTTTTGTGCGTAATGATTCTGCATTTCACTCAATTGTAAAATATCTCCTGTTTGTTTGACAAAAACGCCGGATATTAAAATGGGTATATAGAAAGAGGCTTTTTTGTTCCATCACATTCTTATGTGGTTTGTTAAGCGTAGCGCAATAAAGTTAAGTTGTTTTCGCTAAAATACCTTTCATGCTCTTTAAATCTGTCTTTTATTATAGTTAGTAGTCGAATTTCACATTGTGCTGTTTAAAGGTTTGACAGTGTAAAACGACTGAAATTGGCGAGATCCTCCGTCTTTGAATATGTTCAATACAATATTTTAAATGCTTTTTTTGGTTTATTAGGGAGTAAAAATTAGTGCACATTAATGAAATTTTTTGTGTTAATTTAAACGCGATTTTTGTCAGAGGTTGTACAATTGGAGGGTTGGGATAGTTTACAATTTGAAAAAAGGGTGGTGTTAGTTGCAGCAAGCAATACCTAATTTTTAGAGGATGAATTTGCTTTTTCTACAAAAGTACCTTATTTATGGACGAAAAATCATACATAAATGTATTTCAGTAAAACAGACGTAAAAATTTTTCATGATTTAGAATGGTAATTGATCATATTCGAACTGTTGCAGTACAGATTTTTAGAATCTAAAATTCCAAAATTTGTTTCCTTTTAAAAGCATGTTTTTATATTCGATGCATTTTCATTTTATTTAATAATGGGATGCCAGATGCGGAGTTTTTTAAAGCCACTAACAATATTTGTATTATAAAAAAATGCAAAGCAAATACCTAAAGGTTTTTTTCTTCCTTTTATCACTTTTTTACACATATAGATTAGGTGATTTTTCCTTATCCATGACGAACTTGTGAAGTTAACATAAACAGCCACTTGGGATTTAATGGAATCGGAAGTCATGTACGAGTTGCTCGTTTAAAAAAAATGCTATTAACAAAAAAGGTGGAATGCTTTTGCAGATATTTCTACAATAAACAATTTTCTTATGAAATTTCTTTTGAATTTGCAAACTAATTAAAACCCATTTTACTCAGTCTCAAGCACTAAGATTCAATAAGTGCTGAGATAAGACATAATTTTACGAAGTAATTAAGATTTACTACGACATTTTGTTTGTGCTTAGTTGGGTTGCTTGCATTATTTTGTAGTATGTTGCTGAAATAGCATTTGATTGTTGATGTTTCACTTAGCCAAAATAAGTCATAGAGAATGCTGAAATGTTATAACCAAAATCATGTCGTTTTTTGTGACCTTAAGTAAGTTTTTTTGACTGTGTTACATTTTTGTAGGAAGAAAATTTCTATAACTGTAGAACAGACAAATCCATCAAATACTCAAGTTGAAAAAGTTTGGTCTCTGCTGAATGTTTTCTATTTTCTTAGTCCCTTGACATTAGTTTAACTGATGAAAATGATTTGTACTTTTTATTCACTGCGAAAATATATGCGTGTGATTTCCAAAGGTTTGTGGTTGTTTACCTAAACGTTGTTAGAATAAAGGAACAGCAAGGTCTTCTCGTAGAATACAATGCATTTGGACAGATGCTTATTGACCTTCTTTCCAAGTGCCTGCAAGAGGAATGCAATCTTTCACCAAGGTAGGAAAATTGGTCAATATTTACGTAAGATACATTTTGAAATTTTCAGAGTCAACCGAACCTCATGTCCTTCAGATTGTGGAAACCACGGATTTTCGTCGTCTAACGCACTTGGCAATCAATTTCTGTGCGGCTTCTGATGAGGCTTTAAAGGCCTATCTTGTATCATGCATCAAGAAAATAAAGGTTTGTTTTCTGGGCTCATATATTCTTTAGACAAATTATGAACTCGCTTTGGATAAATGTCGTCTTGCGGAAGCGAATCTCAGTCATCAATTGGCCTCCTCCAGTCAAGTATGTTTGAGAGCACAATATTAATTATCTAAAGATGTCCAATGAACTTACAAGTAAATTGGAGGATCTAAAAGAAAGTCAGCGACGTGAAGTGTGTGATTTAAAAAACCGGTATGAGACCCAGCTAGAACACATCATATCTTCCAATGAGAAGGTAGGCTATTTTCCTGTTAGTATTTGTGAAGGCTATTGAACTTATTACAACAAAACATTCTTCTGAACTGAAAGCCCTCCAAGAGACACATGAGACCGAGATATCGGGGCTCAGATCCAAATTAGAGTCACAGACATCGGCTCTTAACGTAAGCACCCTTTTTCGTTTATCATGACTGTGTAGACTGGTAATCTTCGTGAGGAGGAACTAAAACTTCAATTAAACTCGCTTTCAAAGAACCTTGTGGACACCGAAACTATTCTTTCAGGTTTACGAAATGAAAATGACGGTAACGCCTCATTTTGTCATATATGTGTTTAGCGCAAAAGTCGGAGATCCTTTCATTAAGAGTAAAATGTGACCAACTTCAGTCATCCATATCTCATCTCACAACCAAGTATGAAAATATGGAGTCGATGTTTACTGTAGAGCAGAAGCGGGCAAGCTTTCTGGACTCCGAATGCAACTCTCAGAGGGAACAAGTTGTGAGTTTGCCACCTTATAGATATTACTGATCTTAATGTTGGAAAAAGAACTAAGTTGTTTTCCCAGTTGTAATTTTTGACATACAATCTACTTGTCCATTATATATCTAGAGAGTGGTCCAGGAAGACCTACAAAAAAAAGCCAAACATGTCGAAAAACTGGAAAGACTCCTGAAACAACAGACCAGCGAAGTGACAAAGGCAAATAGTATAATCAAACAACTTCAGAAGGAATTAAAGACAACTCATAATAAGGTGTGTTTTTATTTTGTTTCCTGTTTTATTCAGCTCAAGTAGCCCTGTTTGGTTGAAATTTTATCTACCTATTTCGTGAGTAGAGGCGTTCACGTCGGGGCGTGAATCTCCGTATTAGTCGCTCCATTATTTTCACCATTGTACAACTAATTTGCAACGTGCGTGCTAAAGCGATGCACAGTATATGTGCTGAAGTTTTGCTCTCTTAAATGTGCGAGAAGAGGTCCATTTGGAGCCCCTATTTGCTCTTCCCATGTGTGAATATTGATGGCCTACCCTGGAAATCACTAATAAACCATCCTATTACTTTGGGCTTTGACGTTGGCGTGGTTCCTTTGTAGGCAAAACTACGTGGGCAAGTGGCCACGGAGCAGGAAAAGGTGTTAACAGTGAAAGAATCGGAATTGGAAGACGCGCAGACGATGGTACAGGAATTACAGCAACGCCTCAAGGCTGAACAGGCCAAACAGGCGCAAGGCGATTTTCAGATTAACGAACTGCAGGCTTCTCTCGAGGAGGCGAAAAAGACCATCGAAAATAACGAGAATAGTGGGTTTTCTTTTAAATTTTTTAACGTGGCGATTGGCTCGTGACCTATGCAGGGTCTCCATGCATTTGCCACTGAAGTGGTGCTTCTTCCTTTTTCCTAATCTTTAATGAAATATCACTTAATCTGGGAAGTTATGGTAACCCATTCGTTTGTTTACAAACTTAAACTATAGCAACATTTCGTGTTGCCAAATTGATTCTGCTCCTAGCATGTGCCACCAATGCATTAGTGGTTTTTGTTTTAAGACAATACCCCCCTACTAACCGTCTGTAAGTAGATATTTCCTGTTCGTTTAAGTCATCTCGTGGTTAAATCGTCAAATTTCTGAGTCCTACACGTCGTCATGGCAGCAGCGCCTGAAGTCAGCCGGCATTACCATCATGCCCTCCTACATGTCTGAGAAGCAGCCGCCACCCCCGCAAATTTTGCCATCCGGGGTGGCCGGTGAGCACCCCCCGATCAATAGTGGCCTCATTCACCTGCCCCCCCTAGGGTCCGTGAGATCCGCCAGTGGCCTACCGTCGACCACCACGTCCTCCGCCCACCTCCCCAATTCGTCTGCTGCAGGTATTCATTCTACCCTGTACTTCATTTCCCCTTTGTAAAGCTCGAGCGGATGGGTGTGGCTGTTTGTGAATACGGACTGGCTTCCTAATTGGTCAAATTCGTTCCTTAATCTCGGTAAAAAATATTCCTCGTGGCAATTACCCGCCTTCCATGGTGAAGGATGCATTTAAATGGGGACCTTCTCTGCTTTTTTCTGCATTGTCTAAACCGGCGCAGAGGCAACTTTGCTTGGGGCAAATTTATGACTGGAAATGCACACTGCACTGTTCCGTGAAATCGTAATTTCTCGACTAATTACGCGTTCATTGTTCTTTGGAGGCGTAATATTCATAGCTTCAACACAAACTGATTTCGCTTCTTTGTTGTCACCGTCAAGTAGGAGTTATTTAACTCACTTTTTAAACCAAAATTGTAATTCTAAGCAAACTCATCGAGATTATTGAATAAACTAACTTTTTTTCAGATAATAAAAGAGCATTTTGTGCCTTTATTCTGTTTAGTTTTGTCCCACACCGTATGTGATCGTGTTTGTATCGTTTCGTGAATGCTGTGTGCTTTTTGCAATGAGTGGCACTTGGCGTAGCTGGTAGTGCAAAATGCATGGCGGCTGATTTTTGCGGACTGCCCGAATTTCGTTAATGTCGAGTGCATTTGCGCCTGGCTAATGCTAGGAGATTAGGGGGCTTAATTTACGTGTTATTTATGCATGTAATTTTTTGTGCCTTCTCTTTCCGGAAGAGTGTAATGCACGGTGACAGATACACGCTGCATCGATCTCGTGGTTTTCGACATCACTTTCAACACATTTTCCACCATAGGCATCCCAGCCAGTTTCACCAGCACCACGGCGTCGAACGTTGGTCCTTCTAGCGTGACTTCAACGAGCGTCGGCTCGCGCACCTTCGGCAGCAGCCCCGTTGTGGGTCGTGGCGTCACCGCAAACGGGGTCTCCTCCCAGCCACTTGCCCCCAACACCCCAATCACGACGGTGGCATCCACACGACCTCCTACCGTCTCGTCCGTCGCATCGAACGCACACCGAGTCACCCCAAGGCCTCCCGTCTCCTCGTCGTCCTCCCGTCTGACTGCGGAGTTGGCAGGAATGTCAATTCGATCTCCGGTGAACCACGATCGCGCTAACCCCCTCTTGTTACGGCAACCGACCTCACTCCAATCGGTGCCAAAGCGTAAGTTATTTATTTGGCTCGTGGGGTGTGTACACTTTAAACGAGGTTAATATCTTGTTCTCCTCATGCTTGGCTATCCGAGACCACGTTCACAAATCTCAGAGTTCAACCAGCTTTAGTGTCAAAACGTGCGCTGCCAACAGGCCCCTGTCATTAGTGAATGGTGCATTTCAAATGTGGTAGTTGTTCTCCCAATGCGTCTAGAATGTCCCTAGAAAAAGAGCTTGTTTTTTGCCTTTAATCGTCGGACTACTTTGACCCACTTAACGATTTCACCAGTCAGTAATAAGTTAGATTATCCATATTGGGGGTGGATGCGACCGGGAAATTCGATACGTTGGGGACTTTTTGGCCGTGGTTGCATCTCTCTTCGCATTTCTTACCCATTCGCATGACTTCCTATGCGTCCTCGTGCTCGATGAGCCGTCAGTCATTCGATTTGCACTTTCCCGTGTTCCAAACAGCGGATTAGCGTTCTGAAGTATTGACCGTGTTTCCTTTGTCGTGAAAGCTTATTGTTATAGCATTCTGGCACCTAGTTAAGCCATCATCATTAGCGTTGTTGGATTCACCCAAATTGTTGCTTGTCTACCAAAAACGTGCTATGTGTAGTTTCTCTTTTTGCTTATCCATAAAGTAAGCGCGAGGCCGTGGCACTGAGTTCAGGACATACACTCTCTCAAAAACACACCGAGTTCTTCCGGTGTCTTATTGTCTGGGTGTCGCTTAGTAGGTCGAGGTGAGATGATGTTTGTTTTCCGGAACGACGACCTCATATGTGCTAGATTTGTTTACCTGAAATCCAGGCACCATCAACAGATCATGGACTCATGGCGCAGCCAAACGCCGGAGCAGGTAAAAAGGGGCAAATTTCACCCACTTGGGCGGTTGTTCAGCTCCAAAAGTGTGTGTGTGTGTGTGTGTGTGAGGGCCAGCTACAGCTAGCTTACACGGTAGAAGCTTGTATTCCAGTGGGAACTTCACTGCGCTTATTTTAAGAGGCTTAACGGACGAATCTCTTCCAAATCTGCTGCTGCTGATGCTATCGATGAATCTGGAAAATTGGTTGTACTTCCAGATGTACGAATGTTTTGCGTTCTCGAAAAAGCATTCTCACATTTTGAGCAGTACGCATGCACAACTTTAGTGCATCGTGTGACCGTTGTTGGTCGCGGTCGAGAGCTTCCGGTAGCAAAGCGCATGGGAACGCGTGATACCATCACCCATTGGGTAATTAAGTGTTCAGTTTGGTGGGCGTGTGGCGCTTTAGTTGTGTCCTTTAATAGATTGTTGCTCTGGCTGGCTGTCCAGTGTGGTGACATCCACGAGCCCATCCCTAATGTATTCGTTGGAAAAACAACTTTTGGAAGAAAGTGATTGAAGGTGAAGAATTTGAACTGAGACGCAAATTTTACGTGTTGGAAGTTGAATGCGTGCTTGTTGAGTTGGTACCGTGAATCCAACTAGTGCCTTTTCAGCCATATTCCATCAATACTCTACCAAGTTTGCTTTCAAAGTTGTCATTAACACAAGGCATTCCCTTGTAATGTTTGAATATGCGCGAGGCTGCCGCCTTTCATTCCAAAACGCATTTGACGCTTTGTTAGAGCGCAGTAGCAGTTCGTTGTAACACGAAGCAGAGAATCTCGCTTGGGTTTCTAGCATCTAACATCTAATACGTATTTGTGTTCTTTACTGAGAACTGATGCCCTCAGCGAGCCGTTCTCCCACGATCGATTGACTCATCAAACTCCACACGACCATCACACGCGCGTTATGGATACTTCCAATCACGTGCTTTATTTTTCAGCTACGAACTGTTTATCTCACGCGAGCGATTTCGACAGCAGCTTGAGTCGACAGTCAGATGGCAGTCGAGGTCCCCTTCATGATAGCCACAACCAGCCGCCTTCGTTTGTTTCCTCGTACTTTCCTCAGGCCGCTGGACCCAACTAGGGGGCTCCCACCTCCCACTTACGTTCACCCCCTACACCCCCACCGCACACGCACAAATTGCCCCACCACCACCGCTTTCACTTTGTCTCGATTTGTTTTCACACAAGATTTACAGCATCACGTTTCCACCAAAGTAATCGCCTTGTTTTGGTTTCGGGGGCTCTCAAGCGAACTTCACCTGTCATTAATCGGCAAGCTGATGTGTTCCATGGTCCAAATGCCCCCCTCTCCCTTAAGAAGTCTTAATGACTCCCTGAGGTGAATCTTCTGCACTTGGAGGCGTATTTTTGCTTGAGGGGGATGCTGCTTGTGAGGCAACATTGCACTCCCCGCCCCCACCACGAGGGCTTGCTATCACGTGCTTCCATGCCGCTTTAGGGTCACGCAAACCTGCGCCTGCACTTTTAACGCGCCATGTCCACGCAACCACATTGCCCTTTTCTGAAGCATTCGCATACCGACCAGTTTGGTCGGGGAATGGCGTGATGTAGAGGTTATTGACTAATCACACGAGCAAGATCCCTTTCTCCTTCCAAAATCATCGTATCCATCGGGAATGACATCATGGCAGATCTGTTAGAGGATGAATCCAGTGCACTTAGTAGTGGTTCCTCAAGGTCGTGTTACCCCACGCGAGACAGAAGTAGCCGTTTTGCGGGGCCACGTAAAATCGAGGTGGTACGGGCCGAGGTACGTGGGCACCCAAACGACCACAGCCTAGAGGTGGTACTTTAAGGGCCGTGTGCAGAAAAACCTATCGCTGGAATATTAAGGTGTAGGGCACCAGCACCATGGGCCGCAACTCGACGTGCACCAAATCACTACTGATGACCCCACGTCTTGTTGGTGCAGTGTTGGGTGGATCCTGAGTCTACAACCTGCTTCCTACGTCCCCGTCAACCGCTACCAAAACATAACCCAATTTGCGTGTTTTTATTGACTTTATGCGGTGAGATCGGTTGTGCGCGCGCACACAGGACACACTTCGGCGGATGAGGGGTTCAGGTATGCCCCCAAATAAATGAGAACCACTAATAAATCGGATGATGAAGTAACCAAATAAAGAGGGACAACCAATGGAGGAAGGAAGGGAGATAACTTGTATCATACACACGCACCAAGCGCCGTAGTGCAAAGGAAAGTGGAAGTCGAACAGTTGGGAAGGGAATGGGTGTCAATTTACATATCGGCAGCCTCGTGGGATGAGAATGCACTGGAGGTGTTCTCGCCGCCGACCGAGGCGGAGGCAGGGGGAGGGCAACTCCTGGCTGCGAGGGGCCACTTGTAGGCATAGGTGACGCTCTTTCCTGGCGCCACACCCGGCTCAGCGCTGCCCCCCACCTCGGTGAAATAGAAGGGATGCCACTTTTGGTGGGCTTCGAGGCGCGCCGCGGCCTCTCGTCGTTGACGCTGTTCAAGGAGGGATTTTGCATCGGTTGCGGCGTCGATGTTGCCCTGCTTGAGGTTCTGCGTCACCGACTCCCACATTCTTAACAAAAAAGGCAATGGAAATAGGAAATTCAACCTGACTGATTCGGCAACGGGAGAATGTGAGCCGGAGGAAGAAAAGCCATCATAACAGCCACAACGAGCAGGGCTACTCCTTGCCGTTTGAAAAGCAGTTTATTTGACCTAATGAATGGTAGTTGTTGCGAAAATCCTATCGAATACAAAACAATCGCGGTACTTCTGCCTGAGTAAATCGTCAAGTTCAACAAATGCGTACGCAGTGTGTCCACATCAAAACCAGTTCACGAGGCACAAGTAAGCCGAATTAGATAAACACATAGGAGACAAGCACTCACCTTCGAGACTCGTTGAGAAGTTGTTTCGGACGGGGACGGACCTGCTTCTTCATAATTGGCAGCACTTTGGTGTCGACGAAGAGCTCTTCGCTCTAACAAGGAGGACACACAAGACGTGAGTTTGGGAAAACCCATTCTAACCTTTTTCTGCCAAAAAACGTTTCATTCTACTACATTCGGTGTCACATGAGTTTGCTCTTATGAAAGAACAAAAAAGGCACAGATTTGGAAAAGTTAGAACCGAAAACGAAAAGGGGGACTTTTGGCATCTGAACACAACAAAGCCACTTCAAACTAAACTCAGCATTACTGTGGAGCAGAAGTGGAATGCGTTATCTAGCTGTTGTGAGTTGCACTGATTCACGCTCGTTAATCCAGTCACTTCAGACTCCGACACAAGGTCCCCCTTTCCGCAGCATGTCGTCAGCCCCGCGGATCCCCAACTCCCCCCTCATTAGCGCGAATAATTGCCCTAGATTATCAACGCACTTAGGTCGTGATGTTAGCGCATTTATGACTCACACAGCTGGGGTATAAATACACACGCGTAAACACCACACACCAACTTTGTTGAGCTGTGTCCACGTCCACGTAATTGGACCAGATCTAACTCAGTGGCCCCGGCGTGGCTCAAGACCACATGCTGGGGCTCACAACACAGCAAGGAAAATTTTACATTTTGACGCAATTGAGCACGTGCTGTTCACACAGTAGTCGCAGTTGTTCTAGAGTGGAGCACTTGACAACATTCGGAGTGATGTGAAGCGTGCGCCACAGCCCAGTAAAACAACCGGTTGAACGAAAAACGATCCCTCCACACCAGGATTCCTGGCTGGCGCCACTTGGACAGCGCAAAATCGTGACGTGGCATATGCTGCAACACTACCAGTCTGTTGAGATGACGTCACTGCTTGTTTACAATTCTATTGGTAGTTAAAACACAGAAAACGAGAGCTAAGGGGGGTGATGGGAAAGCGGAAGCACAGGGTGGACACAACAAGTTGGTCACCTGCAGGGCCTGATTTTGTCACCGTGGTCCTGGGAATAAAGACCGATGAAAGGCGGGGATGAGTCACAGGAACCAACCATTACGAGAAAAATCTGCTCATTCCCGAAGCAGTTATTAGAAGATCGGACGAAAATAAGCAAAATGCGCAGACATGAAAAGGTAACGCCACCTCTTTAGATGGTAGGGATACCCACAAGTTTTGCTGTTATATGAATAAAAGTATAAAAACAAAAGTCATACTCCGGATTACAGGCGCATCTGCGAGTTGAGATATGGTAAAGGTAGTTGGATGAGGCAGAAAACCATGGAATGTGGGCTTTTCAGATTAGAACAAAGTACACCAGATTGTGCACCACCAGAATGCCATCGTTACGGATCGGTGGATGTTTATTCGTGGGAAAAACGTCCAAGGCGGCAACCACCAGAAGCGGACTCGTGAAAGCACTTTAAGCCAGAGACCACCCTCATTTTGCAAGAATTAGAACGAAACTCAACGCCAGAGGCTGAAGAACACTGTACATAATGGCGGGACTAAAGTTGCAATCTGATAGGTGTTAAATGCTAATTGTAGTGGAAAAAGATGTCCAAACAGAAAAACCAAAGAAAACGAAGAACGCGACAGACCACTGGGCATTCGCTTGCTTGTCTACGCCAGCGTGGATTGAAGGCTTACCCCATCCTCGGTCCACCGCCCAATCATCTGCCCGTTCCACTCGCCTTCGACGACGAGGAAGGGTTTTTTGCTGTCGGGGGCGAAGGCCTCGGCACGGATCTGGTCTTTCTTTCCGCCGTAAAAGGGTTTGGTGCGGAAGTTGACGGTGGCGTAGTACCCGGTCTTGGCGCAGGAGACCGAACACTGACCGCCGAGTTCCACCCACGGCACCGAGAGGATATTTCTGCGATGGAAAAGCACGAAACTATAGAAGGGACCGTCATCCAGTGCGAACGCGTGAGTCAGTCTGTCGTGGATCATACAACTCACTTCAATGAACACGTCGTGCGTGGCAAGAGGGTGTGGCTTTGGGATGCACAGCAACAGCATCACAAGTGGCGTAGGCGTTATATCCAAAAAGCGTGCAATTGCGCAACCAATTGAATTCGGCTTCAACGTCACCGGCTACGTCAACCGACTGATTCAAGATTGAATTGCCAAAAAGATGCCTGTGCTTGATAGGGATACACAATAAACTCTTAACCGTTCTCCCATTATAATTCCGATGCTCTAGGAATTTCATTAACTCGAGACTCATCGGCCATGATAAGGAGGCCAAAGCCCCAATGGAAAACTGTTGACTTCGAGCAACAACAGGTCTATGCATACTTCATTGACGCGACGTTTTGAAATTGCGAGAAAACCGAAATAATTATGACGAAGTACTGTTGGGTGATCTTGTGTGTGTGTGCGCATGTTTATCACAAAAGGACACGAAACGCAACCAGGCTGATTTATATTACAACCCCATACACATAAACAAATCAAGTGGAGGGCTAAGCCTAGACGAGCGATTGGTGGTGTGCTTTCATCTCGCTAGCCCCGGTGTCCAAGGCTGAGGTCGAGGGTCATCCAACTGGCTACAACCGGAATCCTAACTTAGCATTCCTGAGTACGCTGGTTATCAAGTCAAACTTAGCTAAGTGAGACAAGCAGATGTGGCGATGTATTCAAAAGACTCACCTGCCGTAAGCGGAGGGGAATGTAACCACGTACTCCTCGCCGGGTCGATCTAGCAGAACGATGGTCGCGTTGCCGACCATTTCCACGCCGATGCTCAGACCGAGGAATTTTGACTTGGTCCAAATGTGACCGGACACCTGAATGCGCTTGGGAATGTATTCAGCGTAGAATGCAGAGATGGGCGGATGATGAGATACCTAGCAAAAATCAGAAGACCAATGAGGTTGCACAAGAGTCAATGCTTGCTTACACTAAGAGCACAGCCACCTATGGCTGTGGTGGGTCACAGTTAAGACACCCAGATAAATATAGCCAGCGGTCAATCAACAGAATTTATGAGATTAGGCACGGCTGAGCATTGATTGACGCAGGCTTAAGCCCTGATTGGCTTAAAAATTCAAGGCCGTTGAAATACAAACATTTGTTGACAACTGGCTAATATTTTAGATAGACAGAAGGCGTGTAATGAAGGAAAAAAACAATTTTGTGGGAATGACAGTCTGAAGTGAAAGACCGATTGAAATATAGAAGTCGTGGAATTCCGTTTGGAGCAAATACCGTAGCAACGGTCAACCATACCTGTTCAGCAAGAAAGACGACACAATCGTCGGCAGCGTATGGAATGGGGCCGTAGCGGGACAGTTGGTCTTCCTCGTAGGTGGCCGGAATTTGGTCCTCCTGCAACGGCGGAAGGTCGGTTTCGGGGCCGAGGCAGTAGCAGCACCGAAATATCTCCCCCAGGATCGGATTGTACGGCTTCTTGCATACGGGGGTTCTGCGGCTAGCGTGGAAAGCCGAAAGGTACCTACGCAAAGCACAGTGGAAATAGACGATCTGGTGTTCTAAACACAACTACGTCATCAACGCAACAAGAACTGTTGAATTTGTCGAAATAAGCGTCTTGGATGCGGATTAACAGGTGAGTTCCAGACTGGAACTCTGCTTCCACGTAGCTGAATGGGGGAAGGCAAATGAGCCAATTAAATCAACCAAAGCACTGCAAGCCATTGCAGAGCCCTAGCTTGATTGGTTCGTGTCGACGAGTTTGAGATGCTAGTTAACGAAGACGTAATGGGAAGAAATTGCGAGGTGTGACGGCATGTCGCTAACTTCTAAAGGAACGGGGTGTTTATCGAGCGAGAGAAAAGAAGTAGAGTTCACTCAAAGCACCCAACAAACAACAAGAGATTGTACCTACAAGGCACTCGACGCAACACAATGCACTCATACAATTTGATCAAAGGCACCGAAGAATTTAGCGTGTGCGGGCACCACAAAAAGGAGTTGATGTAATTTACAGAGTCAGGAGTGGGTGAGTACGTACCACCGAAGACAGGCGATGAGGCGAGACTGAGGCGTCTCGCCATCGCCGATGGCAATCCAGAGGTCGGGATGGGCCAGGAAATCCGCGTACATCTCGAGAGTGGAGCGCTTCTCGAGGATGAAGGTGGGCAGGGTTATTCGCGTCAGGTCCATGCCGATCCGGAGCTGGGAGATCAGGTAGGTTATCACCGAGCCCTCCGACTGAAGTGAGCCCACTAAAGCAAGGCCAAATGACGACTCTAATCAATACGTAGGTGAAAAAAATACGACTAAGAAATTGGTACGAGAGTAGCAGTAAACCCGGTCATCGGGGCATTTTCAATCTGACTGGAACGTGCGGCAGTTTTGGGTAAGTCAGCGCATAAAAATATGCAAGGCGTAAAACAAAGTGGCCGGAAGTTGGTCGTAAATGTGTGAGGGTAAACCACTACGAGAATGCCTCGCACTCCAGGAGTGTTCGTGATGTTGCTTCATCCAAATGGAGATGTGGAACAATGGAGAAGATAGCAGCACAACACGACAGCCCAACTACTACATTAATGTGTTGATGAACCAATTAAAAACCGTCAGAGATGTAACGGGTTGATATACCCCAGGTCACATATGCGATCGCCCGAAGACGCGTGGAGACAATTGCGTCAAACTAAATTCGGCCGTAGCTTTTGTGGGAGCACGACCCTAATGGCTACAATCTACTAAAAATCACTTTGACTAGGCGATTACAGCCGTCGAGCCTGAAGTCGCGTAGCTCCTGCCTCAACAGGGAAAGTTCCACTGACATCATAGGACCCACGGAACACCCTTTCATCGACGTCTTCGTCGGTTACGCCGAAGCGTCTGAAATTTCACGCGTTTGCACGCATCTTCCAGGGTACACCCGCCACCTATAAGTAAACACGACCCCGACTGCACACACCAGCAAATAAACGGTTGCGTCTTCGAATTCCTTCTGAGATTATTAATCTAGTTAATGGATGGTTTTTGATGGGGGATTTACGGGTGGTCTGCGTTCAAGTTCCCTCACTGCCCCCTTCGTATTCAAAGTCCGGTTTCTGAATGATTTTGAAAAAACTATTCTGCATAAAATTAACGATACGCCTAGTTAGTTTGCTAATGTTTTGCGCTGTGACCTTGGCTTAATGAGTAGTAGTAGGACTGGGTCCGCATCACAAATCGTTAAATCAAGGTGGCGCAATTGCCCTGTTGTACTGGCCCCTACCTCGCCATCGTCTGCACGCCCCCCACAACCTTGGCCTACAGCGCCGTGCTCACTTGCCTGCCAAGTGGTTAGAGCATGCCTACTGGCAGCCAGGCGGTGAGTTCAACTTCACTATCGATACCCTTGGAGCCCAATAAACATTCTAAGTCTGACACTGATGGGTAAATCCCTCTTAAACACATTTGAGACATATCAAAACCCGTTCGCAATAAGGCTGATGGCTCCCTTGTGGAGAGCACAAACGGGTCTCTATAAATACCATCGCCGGTACAGGCATGAGATCCATAGGGTGGTTTTTACATCGCATTTGTGACCTAGCTGGCAGGACTTTGCACAAACAGAATTCCATGTTTTTTTTTGCAACTTTATTATTGCTCGGCTTTTTGACAAAATCGCCTCATGATAAGTGGTAATCAGCTTAGCAATTCTAGTAAATGATCGAATGACTCCATGGCAAAGGCTATTTCCTGCGATTTTGCACCGCATTTTATAACTTCGTTCTAGTTTCAGTGACCTAGATCGAATTTACGGTAATTCAGACTTGCTGAGCTGGTTACAGATAAAGGTTACATTGTAATCCCTAAACCTTTTACTGTTCAAGCAGTCTGGTATCACAGCCAATCACGTAAAATATTGATTACCGCTTTCTGGAAATAGTACTGGGCTATTGAGGGTGGTCGATTCGAGGCAAACGTAGGGGAACCTGCAAGTTGTTGTTGTTGTTGAAATATTGGCTTTTCTGGCAAAAACACATTAATGTAGGGTTAACACGATATGGGCATACATTCAGCTGATGAAATTGATGCTTGTTCCTTACAAAAACCAATCGTGCTGATTACCAAAACAGCATCTCCTTTGTTTCCGGGAGTCTGAAAGTGGTGCGGATACCCTAGCAGTGGTCGCAAACTAGATTCTATATGTAGCCCACATTAGCACTTGGAACTACCTGTTACCCGTTAGGCACTTAATGGTTCCCCAGAGTGGAGGGTTAAAAAATCATTTACTCGAAGAAATCGTCAACTTTTTCTGCTTACTTCACCTATGGTGGAAAGACATGTCAACAAAGAAGAGCTTCCCGTGGCCACAACGACGGATTACAGCCTCAATGCGGTCAAGATCTGGCATTTTCATGCGGATTTCTACCTTTAGATTTCGTGTATGGCTGTCAAGCAACGTCTGGATCTCCAACAGGTTTGACAAGACCGACTCGCTTATTTTAAAATCGATAGCACAGGAAAAAAACACTAGATCTTTTACTTAGCATCAGTCAACAACAGTCAAGAAGCTGCCTACACTCTTGCTAACCTCGAACAAGACCAGAACGAGGACCAACTTCGTCTGATGACATTTAAGGAATCACCCGGGGAAGCTTTCTCCATCCGTTTTTACCAATTGTGGTCCATTACAAGTGCTGCCACCAAGTAGTCCAAGACAGGTATCTACCCGCCGTTATCAAGATATTTACACTTTGAGAAATCAAGGTTTAAAGCACGAGGTGGCAGAATGAAGCACAATATAAAATGGTACCCAAGCGGCGACTACGTGCAGGAAACATCGGAAATGGAGAAGTGGACGGGTTCTGTCTAACTCACTAGGAAACCGGGGCTTACGAATAGCTCAATTAGTGTGCACACAAGCCTCAAACGAGTTTGCTGCAACCAGGGTGCCCTTCGTGAATGCAGTTCACTATCGACCAAGGTCATTCACAGTTGGTGATAGTGGGAATAAAGACCAGCGACTTACAGTCCTTTTCATCGTCGTCGTCGTAGAGGGAGTCGTAGGCGAAGACCTTGCTGTACTTGGTTGGTACCCGATCTCTGACAGCGCTGCCGACGCTCACAACACTCCCGAAATGGTTCTTCTCCATGTCGGTTACATCGGGGTAGACGCCACAAAGCGGCTGAAGACTGCTAACGCCGCCACCTTCACCATTGACAACATATTCTGCGCGACTCAATCTGTAAAAAAGGAAAATAGCCTATCACGCAAGGTTATGTGCCATGGCAGTTTAAGTAGAAATACGGGGAAGTGGAGAGATTTCCCGCCCCGAAACAACGACTTGGCAGTACGAATCGAATCAAACAATGTCAGTGTATTGAACATAACCTTGGCCAGTTGTCTTCTCAACAAATAGCAACTCCGTCACGTGGTCAGCTAGAAGAGCTTGCAAGCACACAGATGGTGCGCGTAAGCAAGCTTGACATACGAATAAGAGAAGAGGAGCTGACGGAAGAAGGCGCTTGGGGGTGGGAGAGGGGAGGCGGACTGAGGCACCAGGCTCTGCCGTTTTTTCAAGAGAAACTGTGAAATCGTGGTGTGTGCGAGTGTGTGAGGTGGGTTTTTTCCAGATCACAGCGCTGGTCTCGTGTTAATGACGAATCGCGTGCACAGCCTACGAGAGGAGGTTTGTGGGCATCGAGGCAGAAGAAGTGGGCCCAAGTCTGGGACAGCGAGCAGGGCACAAGTGCTACCCCGAGGTGTGCATGCAAAGGAGGAAGAATCACATTTCCTGCACCACTTGATTTTATGCGTAGCGTCAGTAAAGTGCACATTAGCCCAAACAGGATCGCTCGCCTCTAAACACCAATCAACATCTTCTGACAGTAGCACAACGTCTTATGTCATAAGTTTCGCTGTGCGTGGGTACTCACCGTGCTTAAACGTCAGTTATTAATGGCTGCTTGCACTACTAACACGGCGCAAGCTACCGGAAACCTTGTGTAAAAGTGCACAGAAGACTGTGAATTGGCGTCACAAAATAAGCGATAAGTCGGATAACTGCAGTAGTGAGTTTTGTGCGAGTTTCGGTAAGGTATTACGATGACCACTTGTTTGACTACTGAAAGCAAATAAAAGTGCAGGTATTTGTAAAGTGCCGCACTGATTTTTTTAAATTGACCAGTTTTATATATAAAACGAACTAAACTACGTCCACGCATTTTCACAGATGGGGGTATAAAAACAAACAACAATAACACGCACCGACGTTCCCTTGCGCAAATAGACGCCTCGCTGTCATAAATTACTTTTCGAAAATACACAAATTCGCGAATAAGACGTGTTTGTGTGTTAAAGGTTTAATTCAAGTGTGTTAGCGCATAGAATTAAAAAGTGCAGGCCAAACTGCGAATGCTGACCTCACTGCGACGGAAAATATCAAAAGGATGCACGAACCGAGCGTTGCTTCAAAGTGTGCAACGAATCAAACTGCATTAACAGAAAACAGAACTGAGGAAGAGGGTGGTGGAGGTGAATTCCCACCTTTTCGAACCATTTACGAGCCTCCTGTGTGCGTTTGTAATCAAATTAACCCCATCTAGAATTGCCCCGCACTTTCGTCGCGCAACTTCACGCCAGCAGAATGGGAATCGTGTTACAACGGCACGAAAAATGCAGGAGCGCAAGCCCATCTTATAGAATTAAAGGGATGTGATGCATTGTTGGCTATCACTTCACGTTTATTAATACGACACAAAATCGACGCACAGAAATGTGATTGGGTAGTTTGTAATTTGGTTGATCAAAACAAAGACTACCCCAACACGTTTTAAGGTAAGGGTCGAATCCAGTTGGCAATTTGACTTCAGAGTGGTCGAGTGAAGTAGCTTTCCTTTTGTGTAATTTGATAAAACATGAAAAGGTGACAACCGAGTGGCAATTAGCGAAAGGAGAAACAGCCAAAAGTAAGGCCACGTACCCGAGAAGACCTCCCATGAGGCACCTAGGAGCTCCCAGAGGTGGCGTGTTGGTGAAGAAGCCAGCGTACATGCAATGAGTGAGTATGCGAATCGACGCAACAGGCGAATCGTGGCTGCGCGCAACACCTACGTTGACGCGCTGTGGGGCTATTGTGATTGGCTTTAACCCGCAACCGCACTCCACATCGCCTCATCTAACTCGTCACGGAAATCAACGCACACCTCCTGTGGCGTCTTACTTCATCGGAAATCGACAGAAAACAAGGACTTGGGCATCGCGAGAATGCGCAAAGCGTTTAGCCTAGTCAAGAGACTGATTCGTCGGTAAGTGGATGAGCACTGACGAAAAGCAACAAAAAAGTGGAATTTGCCGGTACAGAGAAGAGGAAAACGGATACGAAAACGGCATTTCATCACACAGTTATGAAGGTAGACCAATTGTCACGGGAGAGCTTCCTAGGAGGTAGTTTTAATTTTTGCCACGATTGACATTTCAGAGATCCCATTTGCAGCCTTCATCGTCGACAGTAGCATCAAGTGCAAACAATTAGAGTGTTGATTCGTGGTCAACCAGCAAAAACCACGTTAAGAGGGTGAATTACGCCAAGCAACGATCGCCATGTCAACTTGGTGACACCACAAAGGTGTTGTAAATGTCACGACGAAAGGATCCGATTTGGCAATTCACCAGGGAGTCGTGTTTTACGACGACAATGCGAGGCTGCGTACGCGATAGGCAACTTGCGGAACGTTGAAGGAGCTTGATCGGAAAGAGACGTCACCTGTGGTCCCAATGTTGAACTCTCAGGTTTGGCATTTATGTCAGGATTTGAAAAAAAAACATATTAATGATTCAACTTTCAAAGAAGACGCTGATCTGAAGTCGCGCTTGTTTCAATTTTCTGCATACATATTTCAAGTCAATTGTTTGCAAAAAGTGAGTTTTCTGAAGTTACCCAGATAGTCCACTTGAATGGTGCTAGAGTGGACTGCACACTTGACTTAAACGACGGCGCCATTAACAAAAGTACAATGCGGTTGGTTAATCGACACTTTTGTGTCAAACGCCACGAGAGGAGGCAAACACGGCTAAACGGTTTTTGCGTTAAGGAAGGAAGGAAGGAGCCCTTCAGATTAACTCGGCGTTTCTCGATTTTTCTAGCCAAACGACTTGTGAAGGCGACAAGTTTTGGAAAACGAGAACGACAAAATTTCGAAACCCTATCAATAATCAACCCTCACATCCAGACTTATTATGAATTAACTCCCGCAGTATCGAGTGAAACAAGGCAGGTAGCGGAGAGAGGACATTGTGATAAGTACGTGGAGGCATTTACTACGAAGTTTCTGCGAATGATGAGGATTTACGGCTTGCGGGGATCAATGAAGAGCTAGGGGTGTCGTGGGCACCAGTCGTCTTCAGACAAGCCGGTTCTCACAAGCTCAACCTGATTGGCCTCCAGAAGTCAGGTCAAAAGGTAACCTGTAGCAAAGTGGATTACGATTACTACAAAACGACGAGTCGAATCTTAACAAGATAGGCCAGACTAGGATTTCGACAAACGAAGTACGTTCAAGAGACTTGCTTTCGAAGCTTACGGCGTTTGGTTTGTCATTCATTTTGATTAGTAGGGAGATCATTCAACTGCCAATTGAACAATAGAAGGAAGGCAAAAACGCACGGCTTCCAATGAAAAATCCGTTGCCACAATGGCGAAATCAGTGAGGAGGGCATATTTGACAGCAATGGTAAAAATATCCTGAGAACAAGACTTCATTAGATGACAGTGTCTTCATGTAGTTTCTCTAATGAGTTAGCAAGAAAGTATTTTCTGTTTAAACTGAGATAAAACTCATTTTATTAGTTGCAAATTGACTTGAATAGTTTATACAATACCGACTTGGCCAAAAGACCACTTGCGACATTGCAAGCAAATTTGTTCTTTGTAGCCACACTCAAAGGCCTTCCGGTTCGTATTCACAGAAAACTAGAAAACAAGCAAGATTTCAGATCAGCTTCTCCTGTAAGAGTTGAAAATTCCGAAATAAATGTTAACTTTGATGGCTCAACGTAGAGACCACAAGTGACGTCTCTTTCCCATCGAGCTCCTTAAACCGTTCATCGTCGTTGTGGAACATGAATTCCTGACGAATCATCAAATTTGATCGTTTTGCTGTGTTTACTTCCCAATCCACTCCCAGAATTAGTTGAGACTCCACACCTAATTTGATGTTTTGGTTCCTCGGAAACAGGTCGACATTCACAACACCCGTGTGGTGACATGGCGATCGCTGCTTGGCGTAATTCCCCCTCTTAAAGCGCCTTGTGCGGGTTCACCACGAAGCAGCACCGTGATCGTTTGAGATTGATTTTATTGTGGGCGACGAAATTTTCGTCACAGGTTACGGGTGCATATCGCGAGCACTTGTTTCTCGTTGTTTTAAGTGAGGTCCTTTCCATCTGCACACAATCCGCATATCGAGCATCTTAATGCGTACGGCGCCTTTTATGTGATTTGTGTGTGTGTGTGTGTGTGTGTGTGTGAGTGATGAATTCCTCCGCTTGTATTTGAAGTAAACGTCAATTAGCGCCTTGCAATCACCCGAACTGTTCCAATTGTGGCTTTGATATGGTCACCATCAGCTCCAGATTGCCGGCAAAAACGCCAATCATCATTAAGTGCAAAGCTCGCGTTGAAAATACCGATAGCTGGAAATGTTACTTTTTGCAATCTTTTTCCCAGGAAGGTGGCAATTGACATGTGTCGAAGGTCAACAAGAAATCGATCACAACAGCGACGGAAATTCCCAAAGGAAAGAAAACGCCAAATAGTTCCAAGGCCGAAACTAAGTACTTGCCCCCTCACAATCGAAACAGGATGATTTGTTTGCAACTTATTCTTTAAAATGACAGATTGTATGCTAGTTGTGCAAGTGTGGAAACAAAATATTTCCGACAAAATTTATTTTAAATGATTTAAGAGGAGCGGGAACTTCGCGAGGGTGTGGCTGTCAGTCGTGTTAATTTGCAAGGCGTTGATCCACAGTATGGCTGTATATTAAAGTGCTTGGAGAAGACAGAGGAAGAAGCGGGTGTGGCCGACCACAACTACCCTATGGGCTTTCTAACTTGCGACAGGGCCTGAAACCACGGCATTCACACAGCTTGTCATGCCGGTTAAGACATTCGTGCACAGTTAGTCAGATAAGATAGGACTCCAATGCCAGCAAAGTACATAACTTATGGCCTCAGGCAGTACTGCAAGGTCAAAGGTCAGCTGAAACAGGCATGGGCCAGCTTTACACGGAAGAGCGTTATCTTGTTTCATTCACAAAAAATGCCTTATGAGGTTGCGTTTTCATCAGCGGCACATCCACATCTGAACCACAATCTGGAGATCGTTGTTGGACCTTGGACTAGTGAGAGAGTACATCACTCGATAAGTCAATCTATTCCACTGGAACAGCTTGCAGTTCAATTTGGCCCCTAGATGATCCCACATGCACCGTTGTCAGTTGACTTGATAAGATGACTGCAAATGGTGCAGTCCTCATAAAGTTCCCGTTCAATGTTTAGCCAATGACCACAAACCATTTAACACTCGAGGGTCTCGCTCAACTACACACAGAGAAGCAGCACGAGTAAAATATATCCAGAGCATGCACGAGTGGGTCAGGGCAATGAGTTGGGATTCGAAAAGACAAATGTCGCCTACCACTGTATGAAATATAAAGCGTGAGTGTGGTGTCTAAACTACAGAAAAAGGAACATGAAGAAGCTGAGTGGGTGAGTTGGCTTGCAACACTCACGTCTCATCAGATCCGCTTTTCGAAAGCTGCGAGGAGTGACAGCGCGAGACGTTAGAGACGGTCGGCGACACCGAGGCAACGTGTTCCCGTGTGTCGTAGAATATATCCTCCTCCTCTTCACCCTCTGACGAGGAGTACGAGAAAGCGGGAATGTCGCGGAGCTTGAGTTGGTGTGACGCCGGCTGATGGTGGTGGTGGTTGTAAGACGACGCCAGAGACTCAGAGCCAGCAGTCGGGTCGGTGATGTCGGACGCCGATCGAGCTGTGACCAAACTGTCCGAGGGTGTAGGGGTGTGGGGAGCAGCATTGCCGACCAATTGGTTGTCTGCGGAGTTGAGTTTGATCGACATCGCGGATGTGCTAGCTGAGGACGCATTCGACGCCACAAACTGACGCATGTTACTGGCTGAAAGGGAAGAAATGGCAAGAATAGGTACTTACGAATTCACGGGACCGAAGCCAAACAACCGCGACAAGCAGACGCGGCGCTACAAGTGCGATTGTGTTTGGTAAAAAGGCCGTTTGAGACGCGCCAGATTGCATGGCTTCCGGTTTGCCCATTAACCACTGACGTAGACGAATTAAGCCCTTTACTAAAGTTGTTGTAGCTATCAATAGCGAAAATCACGGTGCAAAAATCGTATTCTAGGGAGGGGGTGGTCGCATAATCACCGCTATTTTGGCGGAACTGTTTTACAAATCAACACTGGCACACAAGCACGCACACACACCAAACGGAATTAGACTCTTACTCGACAAACAAATTCACTTAAATTTACAGAATAAAGCAAATCCCGGGCCGAATGATGCTGAGGGCGAGGGATGAGGCTAAACGAGCAACTTGCGCCGATTTCTGCGCATCGCTTGTTAAAAAGACACTGCGTAAAATGATTATCCAAAGTTAATAAAAGACGGCGTGCATGGATTAGCCGAATCCAATCAGCTTTAGGAAATACCAAATCCGGCGTGGGTAAATGTTTGAAAGTATTTAAAGACACTCTTACTCAGTTCACGCTGTGGTTGTCATTAAACTTATGATGAGAAAAAATGACCGAATGGAACTGGCGATTTGGGGCTTGGGGCCTAATTTTATCTAGGAACAAAAATTATTCATCGTTTCATGGCTAACTACAAAATTGCGGTCGAGTAACTAGAGGAAAAGAACGAAAATCTGGCAAAACTTGGGGGCTTGCCAAAACACTCACAACAGCAATTCACGACTGACATACCGTCAGGCAGTAGCCGTAGAAAGGTGGGCATCAACATACGCATTTACAGGTATATTGTGGGAAGAATTCGGACGTGCACAGACCAGCCTCAGGCCACTTACACATAGCTTTTAACCCGGTTGTAGCAAACCATTCCACCCCACAAGTGCGTCTGCGTGCGTGTCACTTTGACTGCAGAATTGTGGCCACACATTTTCACTAAGTCGATGTGCGCAAAATCAGGGCTGCTCTCAACAGTCCACAGTTATTGAGGTTTCAAACCCAACAAATAGGGCACTGGTTGTGGAACTAGGGCCATAAATGCATATACACGGCATGATCAGACATTCACTGGAATGAAACGACACCATTTTGTACGGAAGGCTCTGAATCGATTGAGTTAAATGAATTCATAACGGATCGGGTACAAAGAATGCTTTACGTTGAAATACTTTTGGTCTTCAACCAACCCAAAGTAAATGATCGCTTTCGGATGAGTATACACTAATTCGGCGTGTGCGCTAAAGAACTCCACGCGTTATATTGGTTGGGCGGCCATTAAGTATCGTGACATATAAATTCTTGGGTTGCACAATGGTTGCCTCAAGAGCGACGAATTAGTTGATGTTACGAAGTCAACAATTTAACTTATCATCCGTGTGCGTTGATGCCTTAAGACAATCATCCGAAATAGGTGAGAAACACTGTTCAGGCAATCGCTGCTGATTCCGCCTAACGGCGAGGTAACTTGAAATGTCTTTAAAATTTTACGGAACGACCTTACGATGTCAAATAACTCTGTACCTCTCGACTTTAATAATTTTCACACCACTGTTTAGACCAATTAATCGTTCTTTCTCAAATCGTCGGGTAGTTGAAAACTTGCTTTTCTGCATTCCAGGTTTACACTTACATAAACTAAGTCGATAGCAGGACATTTTTACGAAGGATGCAAGCACAGGATAACTGTGGCTAACCAAAGGGCCGAGAAAACAATTAGAGCGAAATCCTTAAGAACCAACACGCCTTGCTGGTGCTTCTATTCGCAGAAGAAGTGGATTCTATGAAATGCGAGATTTAGGTTAGGTGACACTAATGTTGGATTTCACCTTAGAGATTTCGACAGAACCCTAACTACAGAATGCACGACCTTGCCTCTACAAGCAGACATTCAAGCGACACAAGAACCACCCATGACGGAGACCGAAGCTTGTCGTCCGGCACCCAAGAACCAATCTTCCACATAATGTAGAAACAGAAAGGATGCAACGATGCGGCCACCTCAACGATGCGATTACACGGATCACCCAAAAGGTTGAAATAAAAGGCAGACCAAATTAACCACTGGATGAGTCCAGGTTCAAACGACAATTTTCAAAGGCAGCGCATGAATTGTCATTTCAAACTTTTTTTTTAATCCAAAATTCACACTTTATCCGGTTATTTGGCCGAACCAACTGACGACACTAAAACAGGGAAATTGGCTAACAAAACGCCTATAAAATACGTGCCAAGACCGGGAGTGTACGCACTAGCAGAAGAAGGAGATAAGCAAGTTGAACAGTGGGAATCAATTCGTACAATTTACAAAAATTACGCTTGAATAACTAACAATTTACACTAAAATGCAGAACAATATAAGCACCTGTCCTGTTTTGTGACGCAATGCCTGAAAAATCGTCAGGGATATTTGAACGCTTTTGATTGTCCCTGAAGGCATGATGACTGTTGTATTTGAAGCTCCCGATTACAATTTTTGTTTGTCAAAATGATCGCCACTAAGAAAACTCTCTAGAAACGACAACAATGTCTTGAAGATGCGACGTGATGAAGAAGCAATGTTGAGGATTATTGCGCGCTGTTGAGGCCACTGGTTAAGGCTACAAGAAAGCGAACACAAACCAGGCCCAAGTTTTAGACAAAATAATCAACCCCTACGACCTCGGCGGTGAACAGCTGCCACGTCGCCCAAACGTTCACTTACTTTGAAAACGATACAGTCGAATACGAATTAGACGGTTTAGGGCATCTTTGAGCTGTAGGGATGTCATTTATCTGCATATTCCACCAAGTATTCAAGGTCTAAACATCACCATACAAGTTTCAGCCAATCGCCGTTTTTTTCCGTTTGGGAAGGAGAGATGCTTAGCAGGGCTTGCAATTCATGAGACCTCACTGCGATCGAGATTACTCAAATTAGGTAAAATGGGAAAGGGTTGCTGGTTATTAAAGCAAATTTTATCGCTTTAAAATTTAGTCATGATACGGCGATTTGTCTGTGAGATATCAGGAATCGTGAACTTGATCAATTTAACAGATATAAAGTTCGGAAAAAAGCGTCAAGATAGCACAGTGTTAAGGCCACCCGGAAGGCGAACAAAAAGGTCCCGTTACACAAATATGGTCGTTGGTATACCAGAAATTAGTATGAAGAACCGAATGAAGTCGTCATAACTCACCATTTGGAAACATGAAAAACATGGTTGCAGGAGGCATTAAGTGTGCAGATTGGTGGTGTCAGCGTTACACAGGCGGCCGCACAAAGTGCCAGCCAATCAGAGAAGCGGTGCGTCCATCGAACCAATAAATGCGGAAAGCTTTTGCCGATTTTGCTCCTGATTCAAAATGAGTTTTTACGCCTTCAGAAACACAGATTATCAGTGAAAATCACTTGCACTTTTCCGGTGGATGTGCTCTTTTTAATCACAGTATTGTGAATCGTGTTCACACTAGTTAAGCCGATCACTCCAGCCTCCGACAAAGGACCCCTCTTTTCGTAGTATGTCGCCAGCCGCGTGGATCATCAACTCCCCCTCATTAGCACGAACGATTATCTTAGATTATCATCACATCGAGGTTTCGATGTTAGAGCATTTATGACTTGCACATCTGAGGTATAAATACACACACGCAAACGCCACACAACACAACGCCAACTTTGTTGAGCTCAGAAATAAACGGTTGTGTCCACTTTCTCTCCGACCTTCTTCTTCATCGCGTGTAGTAGGGAAGCGTAACCAGGCCAGAATCAACTCATTGGCCCCGGCGTGGTTCAAGACAACATGCTGGGTCCCACAACAGCAAATTTTCATCGTCCCTCAGCGTCAGTTACCCATGCGTGCTTTTGCACTGTTTCTAGAGAATGAAAATGACTCAGCACGAGCTGAACCGAACCACACAATGCGAACTTGCAGTTGTGGATGCCGCCTGTTTTGCAACAAAAGCCCAGGTCAGCGAGGATCGACATCATTCAAACAATTTCTAGAGCCGACATTAGCAAAATTCCTTTGGTGGGTTAGAAACGCATTGAGCTGTTTCGCTGTAAGGTGACCTTGCGAAAGATCCGATATAAATCCAAGAAACCACCCTTAACTAACTGACCCAGCATGTCAGACTGCACACAGATCTCAGTATTAGAAAGTTTTAACCTCACAAAGCACACACACAGAGAGAAAACATTAAATAATTCATCCACCACCACGTGTGTCCTGAAGGTGACCTGCTTTCATGCCCCCCCGTACGCTCACACACGCAAGATCCCGAGTAGGTAATAAAAGTCATCTTTACCTCGTCTACCGCATAAATGCAATCGTAACACTAGTTTTCAGGTCCCGAGAAGCCAACTCCACGCATCAACGGGGTTTTACACTTAATGATAAACACGACAGAAACAACAGCCTCAATTGAGGTACTCAGGATTGGCCAACTGGCAAGGACACGCAGCCGGAGAAAGTACTGTTCCGCTGAAGGCAATAGACTCAACGACTAACACAACATTATGCTTCAGTACTAATTGATAACTGAGCCGAGGTAAACGAATGCCTTCAAAAATTCCATTGTATGCAGCTCCAATGCTGACCGGTACCTGTTTAATCCCCCATAATCGTCACCCTACTTCCATTTAATGCAATTAAATTCCACGATAAGTTGTGTTAGGCGTCGCTGCATCGGTGACGCAGGTGCCAAGTGAGCCATCAGGAGACACGCACTCCCTCGAACTTGGGGAAAACTCGTGTCGCTTGAGCGCAGCTAATCGGCGTCATCGTTTACACACACACGCGCGCGTACGCACCAAGGAGAACTGTGGTAGAATCGGCAAGAGCTTTTAAATCACCAGGCCTAGTGCCCCTTGAACGAGGGGATGCAAAAAGCACATGGTTCGAGTTTAAGCCACGCTGAATTAACGATAAATTAGGCCATAAATTAGAAAGCTAAAGTGAAAACCTCAAAGATGATTGGACAACAGTAAAAGGCGGTGACAAAGAGGAGGTAACCACGACACACACACGCAATCCCAACGGGTTAAAAAGGAAGACGGGCAAAGTAGACTCACCATCAGCAACTGCAGTTGCAAACAAATTCACCATGGCAGTTTTGGGATTTTCCTGAATTGAAGATAAAAAACGAGATAAGTCGACCAACGGGCACAAAATCGCATGCCATACAAATCCAAAAAAAACATCAAAAGGCAAAAAGGATACGGAGGGTATGCAGCCCCATCCACGCAGAGCCATAACTGACTATTTTCAACGATGACAATTCATCTAGTGAACATCGAGTCCAACCATTGCCCTGACACGTACAAATGGACTACGTTGCCCAAGCAGGGATGCAGGATAACGGACAAAACTCGTGGGAATATGCAACTTGAGTTAGCTAAAATCGCTAAATACTCGACTAAGGAAAGGCGTGCCAAACGCAAGATAAGTACGCTTGTACACGAAACTAGGACATGTGCACGGACAGTGCCAACTAGAAAACTGTACAAATAATTCTTCATTGAAAGTCTTGATTTGCAATTGAAAGTAAGGCCTAGTCTATTTGCAAAAAGCAAATAGGTGGGTGATTTGAACCATCAAATCCGAGGCAAAAATGGCGCGGCGCGTTACTAAGTCTACACTACTACTTTTTGACGAAGGCAGTAGCATTTTACTGATTTAAAATCGGTGTGCGGGAACTACCCAAGAAAACCCAACCGTGTGTTAACTCGCTTCTTCGGACGCGAATGTGCAATGTGGTAACCATCATTTAAACGTAAGACCAAAAGAGTGAGAGGACCGTCGAGAAGCATAGCGTGTTGTGTTAATCAGGCAACCGGTAAACACATCCCGTTGAGCGAGATGGCATCCTGTTACAACTTGGGAAACTGCAGGGTGTTTGTGCAAGAAATGACCCCAAGAAATGAGCACACGTGCGTGGCACTTCTCATAAGGTACATCTGTCAAAAAGGTAACACGGGGGTCCGATACAGAAGAGGGAATGAAGACAGGCCCAAGCATATGCAAAGTCCACACTATAACGCAGCGCTACACTTGTATTCTGGGATTTTGATAAGTGTGCTGGGTAAAAATCCAGGAGAGGTCGAGTATCGATGCAACAGCCAGTAGAGTACCCCGCATTGAACAGCCTACTGATTGGACGAGGGCGAATTCGAAGGAAAACGTGATTGGCTGACACCAGGACATAGCTTTCACATGCCGATTTTTGGGAAATTCGATCCGAGGCGGTGGTGCAATCTGACGGGGGGTGGATGTGAGGGTCTATTCCATGACCTTAGCGTAAATGGATTTGGGCGAGGTACGTATCAAGCCCCAATTGCAAGACTCTAACGCCCATCAATACATGCTCGACATCGTGTGCAAAAGTGGGTGTAAAAAGTGGACACATGCAGGAAAATTGCAGTAGAAAATGTGACGTACCTTGGCGAATTGAAGGCATACGATAGTCTTTTTGACCAATTCGATTAGTCGCTGAAATGCAAAGATTTATAAGCAACTCAATACCACGAATAAAACAGGATCGGGCTTTGAGATGTTGAACTAGTGAAAACTTGCTATCGGCATAAATGACCAGTAGCTAGCAGATTCAGTTCCGGCTGAGTAATGGGTAACGATGAAAAAGAACAAGTTCTAGCCAGACATTCAAACGAACGGGCACAAAACGCAATTTCTGGTTTACAATTAGATGGTGGTTGTAAAAGGCTCTACTAACCTGAAGACGTGTTTTGACGGATTCACAGGAATGGCTTGGGAGTTGTTCGGTGTGGCTCAGTTGCTGATCGATTGCCTACAAAAGGGAGAAAGCCACCTGACAGGTCTGGAGTTCGTCCAACCCCAAATCACAAGTTCGGACAGCCTTGTTGACCTGCGACAAAAGACCACGGGAGAAGACTCGTATTTGCACAGAGAACGCACCTGATGCTGATCAATGAGAATCTGGAGGTAGGCGTCCGCCTCGATAATCCGACGATCGAACTCGGAGACGGTGGCTGCGGAGTCCAGAAGACGACTTGTCTACATGGATGAAATATGCGATGTAAAGTAAAGGACTCAGAGTGGAGTGCAATGCCGTCCTTCCAACCGGATCACCCTCAAATTTGATTCGCAGTTTGGCTGGCTGCGCTGAAGCGCGCTACGGTGAAGCTACCGTTTGAAACACAACAACGCAACTTTTCACTGCTCTCAACCGACAAGCATTCTCCGATTGCGCACAAAGTGCAATTTTGATGTTAAATTGAGTGGTTTTGTTAAAAAACAGTGAAAAATGAACATTTCTTAACAAAAAAGTGGATTTATTACGTGTGGGCCCCAATAAGGCTCACTGACACGTAAAATAATGTGAAATGAGCAAGACCACTCTCGACTTAAGTAGTTCCTAACAAGTGTAAAAGCCTTAAAATTGTTCCCGAAATTGCAATACTGTGAGCAACTGAAAGAAAGCTGTATACCAAACAGATATTTGTTAGGCTTTCAATGAAGCCTCGCCATTGCTGAAAATATGCTATACCAGCTAGGGCAAACGTTGTGTCACTTTTTTAACGTGGCTGTAAGTGATCTGCTGACAAATGATGTTTACGAAATCAAGTTCGGAAGGGGTTTCCAATAAGAATGACAGCTGTGACAGGGTAAACTTGCGGTTGTTGCTGTAAAGCATAAGTTATTTTAGAAAGTAGGAGCACGCTAACAGACAAGGAATTGCGACTACGCTTAAGGAGAAAGAGTCATCGCGAAGCGGCTTGCAAGACGACGGCAACAACTCCACCCTCTCACCTAAGTTGCATAGGCCGACAAGCGCTTACAGTCACGTGTGCCAATGTCCAACATGCCCACGTAGAGCAAACCAGGCATCTGCTGTGCCGTTCTTGCACTTTTAATATGAGGTATCGGGGTAGACTAGCATTCCTCTAGCTCTGTTCCGGTGAGCAAACGAGGCGTTCACCAGATAATGACGTCCATGAACTTAGGTGTGTCGCAAATGCAAACATAAAATGAAACACGGGAGAGGAAATGGGTAGGAATGGTGGGGGAATTCGAGTAAACACGATGAATTGTGCTGTTGTCATAAATGAATGCAGCACTCCCTTGTCTAATATCGCAGGCAGTTATTCAGCGCATTTTTAGGAAGTTAAGTCTACCACCCCCATCAGTCACCAGACCCGAGCAGATGAACAGCTACATCACAACTCAAGTTATCAGGTTGCAATACCTAGCCCGCAAGACATCATTTCACAGCCATTAATGCAAATTAGGCCACCAACACACCCACAACACTGTTGTGTGCTTCATTTCGAGTCGATCTACGGTAGCAAAACATCAAGGCGATGAACGAAGCGGTAGGTGAAAACAACCTCATCTACATCATAACAGGTCAAGTCACTGACGCGTAAAAGCAATTGCTCAAAACCGCGAAAGAAGTCACATTAAGCGATAAATCAAAAGTGCGAATCCAAGTGGACAACACTACTGAAGAGCGTGCAAAGAATTCAGACTAAAAATAGTGCAGCTACGGTCAGTCCGAGGAGGTGTTTACCTGTCTTAATAATGACATTTATGAAATCAATTCCTGGGGAATGATTTTGATTCAGAAAGCAACAAAAGTCCCTCCTTTGTTTAAAACCAAATAAATCTACGGCCGAACGAGTCTGACGTGTAAGATGACAAATCGTTGACCACTCTCGGCACTTTCAAAAGATGGTAAGAAGCAAGTCATAACACATACTTTAGCAAAAATCCCATAACACCAAGAGTTGAAGCACTATGCAACCTGTACTCTTGCGTTTGAGGCAATGTTGCAACACTCCCATAAACAAACGACGAATGCAGAAAGTTTAAGGAACCAGCACTAATAAATATTGTCGGTATTCAGGATATGACATATTACAAACACATAAGTAATAGAGAGGAGAAGAAACGTACATGTTGTAAAAGGGCGTAGTTGTCAGTATGAAGATCTCGCGCTTCTTGAAGGGCGTCTAGCCATCTTTGTCGTTCCTCGGCGTCTCGAGCTGAAAAATGGTTAACATTTGACTTCGAAATCTGAACATTTGACTACCACAAGAGATTGACAAAGTACTTACGACATCATCCACTGCTACTTCAACCACTACATTGCATCAAGACACAATTTAACGTAATGTTTCATTAAATGTTTTAATTTATGTAGAACAAGATGCATTCTCTGGTTGACAAAAAATCATTTCTAACTAAAGCCGTTTTTCGATCACAAATCGACAGATAAAACACACAATTTTAACAAAGGAACATCTAACGGCGCATTTATGTATTAATGGGGTTTTGCGAATTACGAAAGGCACAGCCAAAGCAATACGAAACCCGATTACCGTTGACCAAAACACAAGGACCGAACGAGGATTCATTAGAAAACAGACGTCAACAATAGCGCAACTTATATACCTTGGAAATGGAATATCTTGGAATCCACGGTGATTGTAAAAGTACTGTCATCTTCATCATTAATACCCATCTGAGCATTTTTCAACTTCACACAACCGCGCCTATCGCCACGAACCATTTTATCCTTAGACTACAAAGGGAAATCCAAACGTCATTATTGCACAATAACAAAACGCACTGAGCAATGCCTACGTTAAGTGATTGTTGCTGGTATTTATACACCAAGGCAACCATAAAGCTAACGGAGTAAATTCGAAGCCACAGGAAAACCAAAATTAAACGATAATTGTAATGAAAAGTCAAAGCCTATTCAAAAACCGTACCGTGTAATACGATAATACGCCCATAGCCAAATCTAGGACAAACCATCTGTACTGCCATCCTTGAACTACGTTGGTCCACTTGCTTAGAGGACCCTCCATAAATAGTCGAAGTCAATTGTCTATTCGGCACACAACTTTTAGTTAACCCGCCTGCATACGATTGGAAGAAAGTTTATTTAAGTATTCACAGGATCTGGGTAAAATCGTTACGAAAATGTATGTATATCCACCCTAGCTAAGACCTCAATTGTACCTAAAAGCGGGATTGAGACTAATAAATAGGCTATTGAAAATAAAAGAAACCACGATATCTGAACTTAATGGGACTGAATGTGTGACCATAGATATTCCCTTTGTACTCGAGACCGGTCTCAGATTATTTATTTGCAAGCATCCTAAAATCAGCCTAAAATATTTATAAACGTAAGGTTTATTTCAGATTAAGTTTAGTTTTATTTCTGAAACTAATTCTGAAGCAACTAAAACTACCCTAATTTGACCAATCTTTAAAATTAGTTTTAATTTTGAATCAACCGGAATAAAGACATGAACTAAAAGTATCGAAACCCTAAAAAGTGTGCGAAATTTAAGTTCATGCTCGGCCATTTCGCTGATTTGTTTCTTCTCCAAGTTTTGGTAGTTCATCCATTTTAGTCAATGACGATTTGTCCACTGTCTACCTAGGTCTTCATATTTTTAACAAAGGTTCGTACTTAACTGGAAATCTTTTCAAATTAAAATTCTTTGCGTCAGGAACATTTTGATGTCAAGCATATGACATCGACATGTGTACTTTGAATTATGACCCCATATATAGAAACTTAAATGGGAAGTATGTCCGTCAAATGCGTATTACTTTGGTTTAATTATATTGACAATTAAGCGAACAGAATAACAAGACTGTGGGTGTCAATTTTACCTTTATGCAAAGCGGAAATCCTCATAATATATAGTTCTTTATTAGACAATAATTTGAATTTCCTTTTTATATTAGTTATGTGACTGAAAGTTGAAGATCTTCTTTCCGAGGATTGAATAAAGCTAGAGACATTTACTAAGAGCAGAAGAGCCAAATAAGTTTAATTTTGTACATAAATTCATTGTTTTAACATTCATCTAGTTTTAATGGGTACCGGTGCCTAGTTTATACTACCTATTGTTGGTTAATCTGACCTGTTTAGCCATAAGACTGCCTCATATATCAGCTTATTGGTAGGAATTACGATGATGATGGAACTAGTCTATTCCTTTAGTTCCTAAAAGGATAATATCATGGGTTTTATAAATGATTTTGATATAAATAAACATGGGGAAAAAGCAGTAGTTATTATTAATAGACATTAAACATAATTGTCTTTTGACTCAGAAGGCTAAATGGTCAAATCTAGAACAAGTTAATGCGCAAATGAATGTCTGTGTTTAATTTAACGGAGTTCATTGATAATCATAAATTTTAGTGTCCTTATGGCAATCTGATGAAGTAAAATGCTAGTGCTCGGCTAATGTTCTTGCGCCGGACATATCAACAAATGAAACTAAATCCTTTTCGACTAGAAACGTAAACGAAGCTTGATTCACCGTAGCAAGCTGAAATTTCGAAGCCTTGGTCTTAGTCACGTTAGAGCTTGTCTCGTCCATTTCGTTATTATTGCAATGGTTATCTTTCCTTTAAGCACTTCTTTGCTTTTTAGTTTTCAGGAAGTCGCTAAGCCGAGGAAGTATAGTTCACTAACGTATTCGTTAATGACTGCACTGTACGAACTCATTCGTCGTATTGACATTTATCTCGAGTTGACGTGGATCTGAAGGCGATAATAATACTAATATTACTCAATATGCATGTAACATCGCAATTAATTGTGTGAAAGAATGCCAAAACACATTTAGTTGACTACAAGAAATATTGTAAAAATTTACCAAGGCTCTTTCCATTAATAAATTTACTAATGTCTAATAAAGACAATGGGTAACGCATGATGTGGTTTAAAAAGTGGTTTTTAGTTCCTTATAAATCTACATTGGTTCTTTCAAAATACACACATATTCATAAGAAAAAGAGAAAATTCAATCTTAATTCGAGCGTTTATTTAGATCCGTGTTTCGAAATTGGACAACTTCGAAACTGGTTTACAATAAGTTACTACACCTGATTACAATGCAAGATAGTTAGGCCACTGGATATTTGGAAACATTTTGGGGTAAATTCTTTCCTAGAATTAAAATATTAGGTAATAAAACATTCGAAAGTCATTATTAAGGCAACAAATAAGGTTTGAAATGTCGGGAATTCGTTCTACTACCTGGAGGAGTTATAACCTCCGTACTTTCATCACCATAGTAGCGATCATAGCTACCGTGCTCAAATGCATAATTGCTCGATCGATTATAAGGGGCGCAGTTGTTGCTATATCTTTCATCTGGACGGGTTCTTCGAGTTGAAAACAGTCGCCTAGACGGTACAATTCTTCTCGATGTTGGGGAATACGTGCAGCTGCATTCATAGCACCCAGGACACTGGGAACAATGTGCTTCTCTCCTATTTTCCACTGCAAGTTTTTCAAAGTAGGCGATACTGGAATCAAAGGCTCTTGAGATTGAAGAATCATCGATTCCTTCACGGGCTGATGATAGAGACACACATTTTGGTGAATTCCTCCATGCACCCTTCGCATTCCTCTCTGTGATTTCTCCGAAGTCTCCAGGCATAGATGTGGGCGACCAGCTTCCGCGGGAGGTCTTAATCCATCCGCGTCTCCCGCCAATATCTTTTGATCGAACCTTCCAGGTATCGTCATCCACAGCTCGTGGAAAGTGATGTCTTTCAAAAGGGAAGACTTCTGACCCATTAAGACTGAAACAGGAGGCCGACTTTCGGACATTTGGGATACCCTGCCAGTCTGAGAGTGTCACAGACCGATAGGGCTTTGGTTCGTTTGGATTTATGTGTTCTAAATAAGAGTAATTGAGATTGGGGCTGGTTTTTTGCTTTATTGGAAGACTATTAGTCCTCAGAGGGTAGTTGTCAGAGCAGTCTACAGTCAGCTGTTTGCCCCGATAATCAGGACTTGGCGCTCGAGGAAGACTATCAGGGGAAGTGGGAATTATGTAGGAGATTCCGTTGTCGTTCACACGTTTGTAGACATCCCCTGTCTTGGTAAATATTCCATCAGGCCAATCGCAACCTCCTGCAGCTCTGTTAATGCTCCTTGGACTTGTGTCTCGCCTGATTCCTGGAAGTCTTCGCACTGTCGGCGAAAACCCATTAATCCGTCTGGGCTGCGAAGTGTAATTAGTGCCTAAACACCTTTGATTGTCACAGCGAGACGTTACTGGAGCTCGACTTTTTTCATGTTGATATGTCCTAGAATAGCAGTTTCCCGTTCGCACTGGTGATGGTGGTTCACAGAGTGAAACGGATCTCTGCGAATTATGTCGCCTCACAGGCGATGAAGCATCGATATCTCGTTGGCCGAACGCCGCACTCCTTGGACGGCTTCTTAGGGGTTCCATACCCTTGCTCTGTTGTGCTCTTCTCGGAACTCGCAAAATCTGGGGCTTGTATAATACATTCGGATCTCGAGGTAAGTACATTGTGCGAGCCTCCTCGAATTTCCTTCTCAACTCACTAACGGATGTCGGTTTCTGTGTTATCACGTTGACCACCTCATCCTCTCCGTTCAGTTGCTGCTCGATTGCGTATTGCGTTGGAACGGTCATGGCAGAATCTGATTTCTGATCGTCTTTAGTTATGGAAAGATCCTCCACGGAAGGTAATGTAAGCGAAAGCTCGTGTGGCTGTGAGGGAAGGAGAGCACTTGTGTCTGTTGAAGTAACAACGGACTCGACTTCAAGTTCAGGTTTTTTTCCAGGTGGTTGGGTACGGTCGTAAAATAAGTCGGCAGCTGGGTTGATGTGAGGCGATTGTAGGTCCTCGTATTCGTGTGACCTTGAGTAGTATGTGTTTATATTGACACGTGCAGTGATGTAGCTTTCGCGGCCTTTTGAAGGTGCATAGAGAAGTTCACCGTGTTGGTGTGAACCAATCGGACTCAGGATCAGTGCGTGCGATCCTGGTATGCGGTGAGTTGAGCTGTAAACGCGCTTGGGCAGACGACGACGGCGAAAAGCTTGTTGTTCTTGCTGAAGACCGATTTCCGGCTTGTGGAGATTCGGTAACGACTTTGAGTGATTGGAATCAACCAGGGCTACGAAAGGAGCTGTGGTCTGTGAATCAGAACACACATTTGTAAGAATTTCCACCATGCAACCACCTGAAATGTAAAAAAAATCATAAGCGCTCAGAGTTAAAGAATTGCAACTATCTCTTCGCAAAGGTTATTTACAGTAAATGGACGGCCTTACCATATTTTAAATCAGATAAATTCCGACAAGTTGGCTTATGAGGTTAACTTGAGCATTGAATTGCATCCAATGATTACTGTGATCTTTATTGGATAACAACCAAGATTTAGTCCGTCTGATTTTCACAAACACTTAATAGCAAATGGGGACAATCTGACTGGAGTGTATGTGGAGCTCAGGATGCCTACACAAATCCGAAAATCTATTGAGATTGTAGCACTTCTAAGTTGCCATGGAAAGTACAAAGTAAAGTTATTGAAAAGCTCATGACTGTGGAACGCTTAAAAGTCAAGTTTAAAAAACTGGCGACGGCTAATTGTTACACAAGGATGTCTTCACAATTTCACTTGTGATTTACCTTGGTAAGTTAATCCAGTCACCTGAGCAATTTGCACACATTAGGTCATCTGTAAACGATTTATGAAATCGCCAAATGACATCTTCTGTGCCAGTCAATTTCAAACGCCAGTTAAAAAGAACCCAAAAAATGTCCTTCAGAAGATTATGTTTAAATGTGCAATTTGTATGACTCCACACTGTGTTTTTGTCCCTAATTCCCCATTCAGACAAACGACCTGGTTAGGAGTTATAAACTAGCAGCCTTTCAACTCAACTGCCCTCCCGTGACAATTCTTACGAGCATTGTTTGATTAAAACTGGCA